TATATATAATGAATATCATCATTGTCAAAAATAAAAACCAGTCCATGGGACTGAAAAAATTAATTAACTTTCGATTCGAAAGAGTTAAATTCTAAATCATCCATGTTAGATAATTCTACAGTTCTATTTGAGGTTTTTCTAGATCCTCTTATACATAATAAAATCATTTTTCTAATTAAAAAAGATAACTTACACCGATAATAATTAATAATATCGTTGTAATTCTGTTTTTGTTTATATGCAAGTTTATTGCATAGTAGTTTCTCGAACGTCTTAGCCTGCGGTCCCATGCCCCCCGTCACTGAGTAGATTAATGGAGCAAATGATCCGTGCTCTACATTTAAAATCCTTTCGTTGTAACATCTGGATTTCTGTTTCTCGGCATTCTCCATGACTTTCTTTGTCGAATGTTGAAGGTAGGAATTAGAATTAGGATTAATTACCTTAACATCGAAAAAAGCCACTTGGCCTGCCCTATAGAAACCACGAGCTTTTATATCCGGTCTCGCCTGGTCACCCGTAAGTGTCGAAGACCTCGTGAACTGCTCTCCTTCTAGTTCTTGAAGCTGAGGTTCAACTTCCACGTCCGAGCAAACCGTCTTCAACAAGCCTCCTAAAAAATCCCTAATTTCGTTGTGTCTGATAATGATGTAGCCACCAAGATGGCAATTTAGAGAATGGTTCACATCAAACGTTTTTCCACATGGACAGTGTGAAGGTAAACGATCCAGATCTAAGTTGTATCGCAATCTGATAGAATCCCTAAATTCAGATTTATTTAGAACGAAACCATGTTTTCTTAGTGGTAGACATGAGAGCCAATTTGAGCTCCCTGGTTCGCTAATCTGCTCCAAAATCCTTGCAGTCTTCTTGTCAACCTTTTTAAGTATCTCCTCTTGTTGTTCTTTATATTCCAAAACACGCTGTTTTAACATATCTTGAAGCTCATCTCTCGATTCCGTGTCAGTTGTAGCAAGAGATTTTCCTTTCATGGAATTTACCAGTCCCCGGGTTACCAAAAGCGATGCAGCATGTTCTCTTTTCGCTAGATACTCCAACTGTGGCATTCCCATACCTCCGTTCTTTAATGGTAATGACATAAGCTCTCGGTGTATAGGAGATACTGGACAACCAAATATAGTTGGAATAAGCTCATGAGTGATTATTTTGTCAAGAGGGCCCATATAAGAGCTGATATCTAGTGTCCTCATAAAATATGTAAATTTGTGGCGGACACCGTGCGTAAAACAAGCGTAGGCTGCCTGAGGCTGTGATTTGGCAAACTGTACTAACTTTTTTAGCATATCACTCCACTCAACTACAAGGTTGTTAATGTAGGTATCCTTGAATTCAGGCGTCCCCAGCACAGCTCCTAAATGCCTTTGACCATCTATTCTGATATCTATATTGCAATCGGAAAATATTTCCTGAGCTGTATGTTATTCGTTATTGAAGTTTGTGCTTTTTTGAAGAATTATTTTATAAAAACGTCAATTTTGCGATTTAGTATTCTCTGGTGTTGGGCCATGCCTTGGGTTGTGGAGCTCAGTTCTACTTCTTATAGGTAAAAATTGTGCATTAGGCTAGTTTTAAAGTTGAAAATCGAAAAGTTGCACACGTGGGGACACGCCCAAATTGAAAGAAAATTGCTAAAATCACTGAAAATTGCTGTTTTCGTCATTTTCTGTCAACTTTAGAGTGCCGTTGTGATTACAGTTCTTCTTGAAATACTTTGAAACTTTGCATGCTTATCAAGCTATATATAAAACAATTACATGCAAAAATTTACGGCGATTCAATATTGGATGCGCACGCAACGTCCGCTCAAAGTTTGCACGTGCGAAAGGTGAGAATTTTGCTCATTCGTGATTTCCAACAAATTCTGCTTTGCCACGACAGTTTAATGTCATTATATATGAATTTAATGCCAACTTGAATAAGTATTAAGTGGCATATTCAGTCAGTGATCGACCGATATGCTTCCCTAAACACAAGGATATGTTTTTAAAGGAAAAATTTCGAAATCGTTGAAACTTCCTCCTTATTAATGAAGATATCAGTTTATATTTCGACTTTATAAAGTACCCTGACATTATAATCAAAAAGAGATGATATTTTACCAAAACCCATAATCATGGGTAGAGTGGACCGCTGCCAGTGTCTCTCTTTCCCAAACAAAAGGAAATGATATTAATTTGATTGACCGTTCTCAAATGCAAAATGATACCGAGAATGAAATCGGTCGCTCGCTTTTCCCATTCATTTACAATTGTAATAGATTAAGAAGAACTACCCAAAGGCAGCTGTACTCGGCAATGAAGATTCAATAAACTCCAGCTTCAAGCTTGTTCAATAAGTAATAACTACCACCCTTGTCCCTTACCCCGAAATACTAGGTATCGACCCGAACGCAACCCAAAGAGATTTTTACAGCATCTGATTGATGTAAACAATCGAAACTTATTTATACAATTCGTAAGCCGTGAATGAATGGGAAAAGCGAGCGACCGATTTCATTCTTGGTATCATTTTGCATTTGAGAACGGTCAATCAAATTAATATCATTTCCTTTTGTTTGGGAAAGAGAGACACTGGCAGCGGTCCACTCTACCCATGATTATGGGTTTTGGTAAAATATATAACCTGAAAAGAGCAGTTTCGACTCTAATATAATTTTGAACTCTAAACATCACAACTACAAGTACAACAATGCGACTCTTAAATAATAATGTTCCTATCCGGATATTACATAGATAGTCTTGGATAAAAATAGACTGAGCGCATTGTTTTAGATTTAAATTGAATTTTGCGTGGCCGGCTATTATAGTTATACTTATAAACATACGATAGGTAATTACAAATTATAAAAGATGAGACATTGATAACATAATGAAGAAACCTACATTAAAAACTAATTATCCGAATATTTGTTGTCGAAGCCGAAGCCGTAAGGCTCTAACCAAATCGCTTACTGGGCCGCGCTCATCCTGTCATTCCGCCGAATCTCTATGTTTAACTTTATGAACATGATAGCCTGAGGTCCCCAGGCCCAGGTAACAAATCGCTCGCTCATATATTTTCACGTGACGTTGGTTTTAGCTGTTTTCTCGTCGAACGAAACCCTTTAACTTAAACTTTTACCCGTTGCTGACGTTTTAAGTTTAACGGGCCACCCTTATTGGTTTCGTGGTACTGGTATTAGTATTACGTATTGTTCATGGCACGACTTCGTATAGTGCCAGTGGTAGGACTATACTAGGTGTGTCACAGTTACTGAGACGGAGAACTGCAAAACGACAACTTTTATCCCAGAATAGAATCCCGATAAACCGTTATATATTTGCTTATTTGAACATCACAAGCGTTGTAAGTTTAACTTCAATCTATGATTTGCCACTCAGAGAATGCTGGCTATGCGGATGCCTAATTACAGACATACACTATAAGTATATAACTAAAATCGTGTCAGCACTGATAATCAGGTGATGGCTTGACGTTGAACTTGAACAGTGAAACCCGAATATTAATATAGTTTTTGCCACGATTGAGAGTATGATAATTTTAGTTTAAAACCTCACAGTCACTTCGTACGCTGGCCTAATTTTGTCAAAATCGGTACAAAAATACGGACTCGAACAAAACAAAGTTGCTGAGAAAGTGAAAATCGTAAGAGCTAACTGGATCAGGATGTACAAAAACAGCCGACATGGTTAAGTAATTTTGCTACTGGGCACATTCTCAAACCCATACCAACAGACTGCAAAAAGTTGTCAAATTCTCTTTCATCGCTACGCTCTGTTTTAATTATTCAAAACATAAAAATGCCAAAGGAACGAAGCATCGTAATGAGATGATAAACACGCCGACTTAAAGATATTATACTGAAGCCTTGGAGTGGGAAATAAGTTCGCAAAAGTTGGTAATGGCCTGTCATTATTGGAGTCTTGCTCTAAAACTCTACTTTCTTTCGCCATCTTTGAGACCTCATTTGACGCTACATTTCATCGCTTATCGGACCCGTAATTTTGTAACAGATTTTAAGACAAAGAAGTGAGTTTAAATCGCAGGAGAATGTAAGATTAGAAACTCATGAAAAAAGCAAAGATTCAGTAAATCTCAGCTAAATCCATATAATTATAAAACGGTGCTTTTTGAAGAATCAAATTTGTATGTTACTTTCAAACCCAAACCCAGCAGTAAATCCGGTAGTTTCCATGCTGACACACTGTACTCACTTACATAAGAGAAATTCCGTCTTTTTCGTTAGTGTCGTAATAGCAAATACATTATAATATACACAATTCAAACTTCGTAACATAAAAATATTTCGCTTACATAATGTCAACTTAACCAAAAACAAGATGATACGTCGACTGGAGCTATAACGCGAATGAGATACGTATCATATTATAATCCTAGCTGTCACGTGATATTGTACGTGCGATAATAACGAAACTGGGAGTGCAGCTTGGCACTGCTTGACAAAGCTACTTTTATAACAAGTACAGAAAAAAATATTACACTTCTAAGATCAAAACTAAAAACGAAAGTTTTAAAAATCAAAATATTTGGCGTCGAAAAAAACGACATTGATCAGTGCAGATGACGAGCTATATTACAGCTCGATAATTTGAAACGGCGTGCATGAGATATGTGGCAGGGTGAGCTGTGGTCGAGAAGTCTCACAAAAACAGGAGTTAACAAAGTAGATTAACCCTGTACAGTGAGTGTAGTGTCACGTGACAGTGAGTGTAGTGTCACGTGACAGTGAGTGTAGTGTCACGTGACAGTGTAGTAATGAGGAAGTGTAAAATGTGACGGTCGTGTCTGTCAGTTGGTCCGTCTGTTAGTTACACGTTTGTGTCGTCCTCCTCCTCTAGGAGAGGCTGACTGGCAGGTTTCATTCCCTTCAGCTTAATATCCGACTCGGAAGACTTTTTGGTCCACCAATGAGCGGGGGACGCGTCATTGGGGCTAGATTTAAGGCTATTTGAGGATGCCTCTGCAAGTAGGGATAATCGTCTGTTTCTCTCGTGTCCCGCTTTTTTGAAGGCGTTAGCTACACGTATCTGTGGGGAATTGTAGGTTACAGTGCGAGGGTGAGAAGCAGGGAGATAGGTATCAGCTTTGATATTATTCATATGATTACAATAGACATGGACTTGGCTCGTATTAACTGACCTGATGTTGAACGCGTTTTAAAGATCTCATCCAGAGCATGCGAGCCTGAGTTGCTTCCTCTTGAGTAAACGGCTGTGTTCCCAGCCTCATACCGGAGGGTATTACTGACTTAGGGACAGTTGCGACTACCTGCAAGGTGGAGATACTTAAAATACATCAACTTATTAAAATAATGTTTAGTCACATTAGGTTAAATCATTTTGGTGATACCAGACTAAGTCTAATTTTTATTTAAGGTTGAGTTATGGTGTTATTTAAAGTATATGTGTAAGGTGATGTCTTGTCTCACCTGTCCCCATAACAGCTCAACAGCACCGATAGCAACGCAGATCAACCATTGTTGCCAATTCAAACCTGGGGATGGGTAAATTTTATTTCTGTAAATAATTGAGCAAAACTGGCACCGTTTAAAACAATAAACATAAATATTTTTATCAAAGTCCTTTCGTATACAACTAAAATAAATGCATTCGTAAATCATGTATGCTGAGTTATTTATATGTCGATATGCAATACCAAAAATATTCAGTGAGAAGGGACAGTTAGCAATATACGCGACATTAAGGGTGATATATTGATATGATGGGAGGGTTGAATAATGGATAGGTAAAATAGGTACGAGGTTTGAGCGTTTAAAATATGTATTAATGTTTTACCTTTGGTCGAGAAAGCGTAACCTCCGAACTGTATGAGAATAATTTGTGCGCAGGTGGTCCCAAAAACAACACCCACAAAGATGTAGTTGTTGAAAACACCCTTGAATACGTTTCTCTCCCCGTGTACCTTCCTCGAATTAATCTCGTTGAATATCTGCATCCAAACGAAGGCGTTAAAGAGGATTGTGCCGTGTACGGTTGGCGCGTCTTTAACCTCGTAAGAAGCTTCATCCAGTTGGAAGAGAGTATCCCCGTAGAAGAGTATAACCAGCATCACTATCATTTGATAGATAGCATGTCCGATAATATTTCTCAGCATCGTTCTAGAGATGAGGGGCTTAGTACGCCCATACGGTTTTCTTTTCAACAGATCAGCAGTCGGGGGCTCAGTGGCCAGAGCTAGGGAGGCAAATGTGTCCATAATAAGGTTTACCCACAACATGGGGACGGCCTTCAAGGGCGAAGCACCGTGCGCACAAGAACCAATAAAGCAAAGCATGACGGCCACAACATTAACTGTCAGTTGGAATTGCAAGAATTTAGAAATAGAGTCGTATACATTTCGCCCCCACATGCATGCCTTTACAATTGAGGTGAAGTTATCATCCGTCAAGATAATATCTGAGGCGTTCTTGGCGACATCCGTGCCTGCTAAACCCTGGAAATGCAACGTAAACAGTTCTTATCTTCACGTTTTTATACTAATTTAACCCTGCTTTTCTGCTTAGTTAGGCAGGGAGATACCGAAAACAAATTACAAACATGAACTGAGTTACTTACCATGGCAAATCCAACATCAGCAGCTTTAAGGGCAGGAGCATCATTCGTTCCGTCACCTGTTACTGCTACCACTTCTCTGTTTTTAGTTAGTTTACTGTTGATTATACCAGTTACCAGTACGTACTTATCAGAAGGTGAAGAACGGGCCAAAACTTTCAAAGAAGGCCACACCAGGTCAAACTTGTCTTGGTCAAACTGAGAGAGATGGGAAGTTAGAGGGAATGAGAAAACGTGATGAGAGAATAATCATTTTGACAGCTAAATGACAGTTCAGATTTCGACTTATCTTAATCAACCTTGTCAGACACAACCAACACTTAAAAATTAGATCATTAATAATTGATCATTATTTATTATCTAATGAGGAATCAGACAGTTCGCGACATATTGGATACATGTCCAAAGCACCTGAAATGGACAGTAATAACCATTTTGATTGCTCAGATTTTAGCCACTTTCATTATGTTAATTAACCCTGTCAATTACAATCCAGATAATGATGATTCATGGACTAATGAACAATCAAATATTACGTCACTTCTTGGATATACGTGGAAAGTGCCTGAGGTGTCTTTAACTCTGTACTGCAAATTATAATATTTAACTATTCATCATAATTTCGTGGCGAGAACAGCAAAAAATCGACGGTTCAAAACATATGATATCCCGCGATAAATGTTGACGCACGGTGACCAACACCATGATTTATTTAATTAGACCAGTGCAAGCAAAAAATTTAGTCTTCCTCTCACTTGATCGAAATGTTAAGTCATCTTGATCAAATCAAATAATTTTATTACAGCGATTAATAAATTTAACATAAAATAATAATTTAATTTGTGAATGCGCGCGCGTCAAACCCACAAAGTTGTCGTTGCGCCGTACGTTATTCACGATTTCATTTTTCCTGAAAAGTTAAAACGAGCAGCAACCGAGAGGTCTGTGTACTAATTAGAGTGACTTCGCAGTTCATTGGTAACCTCGTAATATAAACACACAAACAATACACACCGTGTAATCGATCCTCTGTGAATCAAATCACGTTAGCGCTGAAATAGGCGCAGGAAACATCCAAATATTCGCACAAACAATTGCTTTTCGCACATTTGTATCAATAAATTGGATAATTTGAAAAGGCTAGTATTGTTCAGGGAAGAAGAAGCGTTCATCACATCTCAGAAAATCACACTTATCTGCTTCTCTTTGATCACTATTGTTTCACTATTGTGCAAGTAGTCACCATGACATAGTGGTTATTGTAAGGTAGGACACATTTTTAGATTGAAGCTTGGCAAAAGAAAGCAAAAGATAAGACGCATCGATGGCGGATAGAAATTAGGACCAATTCATATCATCTTATACATGCACCCTTAGAAGTACATCCACTAACTCAAATAACATGTTACACAGTCAGCACGTTGTGTAACATAAGGCATCGCTTTGCTGCTGAGAATTTCCCGCGATGCGGTGGCTCACAGTAGTCAAATTACTCGATTTAGTTGCCTGTCACTCAGCAAACGGCCAGAACACGGCTTCTACGTCACAAAATTTAATCTGCTATTAAAAAGTCGCCCGAAAGTTATAATTACATTCACTAACTTGACCAACAGAAATGTAAATCAGATTTAGGAAGGAAAAGCAACGCTTTGCAGTTAAAATAATACGGTTAAGTTAATTACCATGGAATGTACTCATTATGACGCATACACTATACATTATGACGTATACACTATACATTATGACGTATACACTATACAGTGTACAATTTAAGCACTGTGTAATCTATAAAGTACGGCTTTGCTTTATAGTACCGACGAAGCACTTTAGTACATTATGCACAAAGTACATAATATAATGTACTTTATTATTATATATAATTAAGCTTGCAGTTCACTTATGCAAACGTTAGTAATTACACATTAATTAATAAATACAAGCTAAGTATGTCATTTCACCAGCACACGTGAAAGGTTGCTGCCAACCACTATACTATGCTTACAGGTAATGGATGATGGTATATAATTTATCTTCAGTGTTTTGTAAAGTTAATCTACATAAAAACTGTAGTTTAAAATAGGGTACCGTACATTATCTGTACACACAAAGGGATCTATGTTTTATCAGTTCAATTCTCTCTGAGCATTATCTCAATATTTTTTAAACTCATAACCGGAATTAGCTAACTCATAGTAAGCTTATGATCAGCTGTTTGATAACATAAATGAAATGAAATGCATACTGTAATTCTGATATTATCTACACGCTATATCACCGTATCAGTGACGAGAATAGGTTCTTGTGATTTGACTATATCGATGTGCGGTCCTTTGTGTGGGTAAATAAGCAGACAAAGAGCTCAGGGCACACATGATGACTACCATCCGTCATTTAGGCTAGTGTCACTAATTTAATCAATTGGGTCCAATCCTTTTCCTACACAATATCTTACAAAAGGAGGGAGTTTCTGGTTGAGAAAATATTGTGACGTCAGGAAATCCTACAACAGTTCTCTCTCTCTCCCCACAAAACCAGATAATACATTTACAGCAGGTAATCTTGTATATTATGCTATAAGTGTAGTGCTGAAATAATACCGTGCCGGGGTACCATATTATTCAGATATTCTAATTGTAGAAAGTGATATTTCTAAGGTTTTGTCAAGAAGATATTTATATGTGACTCGTGTGTTTAAAACGTCTGTAAAAAGTACCTTTAAGGGACTGTTGTGTGTGAGTATAAAACAACCCACACCACACCACACCACACCACACCACACCACACCACACCACACCACACCACACCACACCCACACCACACCCACACCCACACCCACACCCACACCCACACCACACCACACTACACTACACCACACCACACTACACTACACCACACCACACCACACCACACCACACCACACCACACCACACCACACCCAAACCCACACCCACACCCACACCCACACCCACACCCACACCCACACCCACACCCACACCCACACCCACACCCACACCCACACCCACACCCACACCCACACCCACACCCACACCCACACCCACACCCACACCCACACCCACACCCACACCCACACCCACACCCACACCCACACCCACACCCACACCCACACCCACACCCACACCCACACCCACACCCACACCCACACCCACTATCATAGATACACATACACTCAACACATACAGTCATGTAATAATAAATGTAATATCGGCTACCAAGTCAGTCCTCCTTGACGTAGGATAAGTTGATTTATTAGATTTGATGCCTTACCATTGACTTGATATATTGGAGCACCGTTTGACGTATATCGTCATTTACATTATATAATGTTATATTATTCTTTATAAATAAAGAATAAGAATACCACCTTACAATAAAAGATCTCCGGGCACAAAATAGACAAAAAGACACGAATTAGATCATTGGGCATAGTATAGTAGTGTAACATTCCAATGATTATCCTAAGCTAAAACGTTTCATAGGAAAGTTTTGTTTTTGTTACATCGTTTGAAGAGGATCAGATCTATAGGACAGATGTTAATTTATAGTGTGTAGAGAAAGAAGCAGCGCCTGCGTTGTATGATCTGCAGAAGTTAGCGCTCGTACGTGTTCAATAATCAGATCACTCTGTCTGGTTGTTGCTTCGTAAAAATGCATACTTATGAATATATTATGTTTATTAATAAATAATGTTAATTATTAGATTGCCTTACATCAAACAACGAGGAGATACGTAAAATTACAGAGATCTAATTTCTTGCCTTAAGCTTACCTATACACATTTGTATTTATATAAATGTGTTAGCTGAATAACTTACTTTAGTTACATACTTTAGAATAGAGTAGTAAAGCAATTATCAGGTAAGAGATAAAACGTAGTCGTGTTAGGTTACATGATAAGTTTTGTTAATCAAAAATAGGATTTTAATAGGTTAATCCATTATATTAATTACAGATCATTATTATAAAATGCGTCATTTGTGAGGTAGCAAAAACGTGAGATCAGAAATCTAGCTGTTCGCTTTAAATCGGGATTCTTATACATTCAACAAGACTTAGATTTGTAATGAAGATGGCGAACTATTAGAAAAATAAACGAATATGTTCGAGATTTGTCTCGAAGAATAGTCGCGATTCTGCGACCACTGCGACATACTCTACACTCACACTCACAAAGGAATTCCGATGACAGGTAACACATACAATATCGGGGAGATTTCAGCTACCAGTACCACATTTAAACAGTACTTTTCACCCACACAAAGACTTGTGCCGTCCAATTTTCAATATTGTCATTAGTGATTAGGGGAAAACGTTTGAAACTTAATGCCTTTTGGGAAGCCGCCAAATCCTCGCTACAACTGCAGAAAACAAGGCGCCTGGGGATTCTTTATTTGTTCTGATACCGATAATGGAATGTTATGATATCACACTTGGGCACATGTAATCTGCTAATTTTATATATTACGAGCGCAACCTTTCAAACTACACCATCTTATCAGTTAGTGCATAATTGAGCATTCAGACACCGGAACCTTGGTATATCTCCGACTACAAATCTTATTTAGTTGAAAGAAACGAGCCACGAGCTTATAATCATATATCTCGCACCTCAACAGCTCAACATGGTACTGAAAACAATGTAAGGTATGTTCAGTAAACATACCTTCATAACTCAGACTCAATAAAACCTCTAAGTTATCCAGAAGAAGTATTAGTAATTTAGTAAGGTAAAGAAACATAACTCACCGCTCCACTGTCATCATGGACCAGTTTATGGAAAGTCTTTCCTTCCAGAATGTTCCCCCCGTCTTGTTCCGCCGTCAGAATACCGCACTTTCGGGCGATAGAGCGCGCAGTGATGAGGTTGTCTCCCGTCACCATCCTGATGGTTACTCCAGCTTTCTGGCAGGACACTATAGCGTCAGGAACCTGGGGTGAAGGGAGTGGTTAAACGGAGACTAGACTGGCAGAGTTGGTTAGGGTACGGGTAGGAACGGGTGTAGAGGTATGCTAGACTATCTTTACTTTTGTGGGAATATTTGTATGGGAATGATTTTAGTAAATTTACACTGTCATTGTGTCGTTCAGGGAGGCAATAAAACGTTCTATGATACCATCAATCAGCATTCTAGAAACGCTCTCATCATATATATGCAGTGACAGAGGCATTGTAATTTATACTGAAAATAGAAATTACGTTAGTCATGATCCCTACCAAAATTTTATACATATTATTTAAATATTTAAATATTCTTCCTTTAGAAATGAATGAAATTCCTTTAGAAATGAATGAAATTCCTATTTCATTCGTTGAATTGTCTTAAAAATCGTCTCACTTCTCAGAAAAATAAAACTATGTACATTTAATGACTGCACGTGAGCGAGATCACATTTTGGACTATAGATCCCCGACTATAATATGATACCAAATTAATACCTTTACAGTTTAGTGACTGCATTCCTTTTGTGTGTTAAATGTGAATCTTACTGAGTACAGCTATGATAATTCTGTCTTATATTAACAATGGAATGTTGTGGAACTGAACTAACGGTAAATAGAGTAAAACCATATTAGATCTTTTAAGGTAACGGTTTAAGTGAGGACTTGTTAAGCTGCGGGGAGAACTTGATGTTCTTATTTCAGGTGTTTTCGAGGGTGGTCTGAATGGAATATGACATTGACTGAGACCAACAAACTATCACCTAGCGTGCGCAGTGCACTGTGACACAGTACATTTTGGCAGTGCAATTAAAGCTATATCAGGTGACACTGACAGGTGGACACTGCATAAACCACGTGACACAGTCCTCCACCGTATCTAACGGAGAGTCCGACTCTAATTATCATTATCATCACGCACAACTCTCCGGACAATAATAATAAGACACAGCCTCAGAGAGCTGGTTGAGTATGTTATCCATTAGTAAGCAATATACTAATATCCAGCAGTATTATTATTTCCATACTGCTGACTAACACTGGTATAGGTACATAACGGCGTGCACCCAAACACACCCACACACCCACCCACACTCAGACACTCAGACACTCAGGTGAGTGTGTGTCTGTGTGCCTGCATTGACGTCACGTTGCAATTTGCACCACTAGCAATCTGGTAGAGCCAATCAGCCCTCTCTGAGCTGGTGTTGGGAGCCAAACAATCTGCTGCTCAGCCCAGTCGTAGTAGTGGTCACAGTGGTCAACACACTGATAGAAGTGGTAGAAGTGGCTATTATATTGGCGGTGTACACTGTACATGGAAGCTGGTATTGAACTGTGGCGGCAAAGGCCCCATGTGTGGAGATCGTATGATGGGTTAAGTTCTACTCAAAGTTATATATATCATAACGATGTAATACACAGACCTTCACTAATGTGTGCCAGACGACGTATCTGCTACAAGACACACACACAGTCTCGACACCTGGTGTCTCAATGTGATAATAATGTAGACCACTGGTTGTTGGGGGGTTATAGGTAATTAATCAACACACGTACAGTTTCCAGGACTGAGCGAATATATGCTCGTTGAGGAACAAAATATTAACCTTACTATCTGTACACCTTTCTGTAGGAATCACCTTACTATCTGTACACCTTTCTGTAGGAATCACCTTACTATTTTTACACTTATCTGTTATAGTTATCATGTGTATCAGGATTCTATGATCTCACTCCATCAGATATAGAAAAAGACAGGTGAGATTATAGCTGAGATCATAGGACATTACCTATAAGGTGTTAATACAGTGCTCTATACATAATAACACGCACTGTGCACCGTGCACTGTGACATCTATAATGTATAGAGGCAGAGAAAGGAACCGGAGTATAATACAACTTCAAAACAATGCCTGAGTGGGGAGCATGACGTCGTGGGCATTATTGACCAATCAGAGATAAGATTTGTTGACACGTGCAAACTTGGACCAATCAGAGAGCAGCTGAGCTGACACGTGCAAAACTTGGACCAATCAGAAAGCTGTTCACCTCTCACGTGAAGGACACAAACCAATCAGAACACGGCAGGTGAGTGAGGTTGTGACGTCAGACCTCACAGTGTGTTCACGTTTTGTTTCACTGATCATCAAATCATTACTTTGTACTCTCATCGTTACTGTATTATTACACTAGAGCAGTATTATATAACACGTGTGTTACTGGAGTATCATAACAATCCTATGAGGGTCACTTTTTATAAATAACCTATTTGGAAATGGAGCGTTTTAATAAAAAGGATGTCCGCCAACTCGAATAATACTATAAACTTCATTACACAGTTGAAGTGTAATCCGAGTGGTAAGCATTACTGACCATAACTTAATTATTGAACGAGGTTAGCTGTCTGGCGGGAATATCGGTATTTTTCAAATTCATTATAAATTAAAGTTCAGTAATTTTATTAAATGTCCCAGTTTTAAAACGGATTACCTGCCAGCCAGAATATTTCTATACAGCTGTCAAATAATAGAATTTCCAGTGCTACAAATATTTATAAACATTTATGATTGATAAACTTTTAAATATTGTGATAAATAATAGTTATTTAATTAAGTTTAATTTTGGCGCCCAATATTTGCCTCACTGAACATGTTTCACTACATTTAAACAGCATAGAATATTTTGTACACTGCAATAGTTATAATTAATTTATTAATTGTAACTGCTCTATAGGCTATATAATAGCCGAGCGTCAATTGAAGTTGCCCTCTATTACGACTCTTCATGTTCAAGGCGGCCAGCCTCGCTTTATTTCAATAACAATAACAATAAATTTACGGAATCTCAGCCATCCCTACTGACTGTACTCAACTCTACGTTCTTCAAATTCCCACAATAATGACTTAATTTTGACGTTTAGTGATAGAGGCACACACTCAATAAAAACAATTTCACTCCCTCAGAATTCACAACAATCCAGTGACATTCCTTCAGCTTGTACGTGGTCCACTTGCTCACACATTTTGTTAATCCACTAATTGCTGTAACCTGATTGATTGATAGCTGTCACGTGTGGCGATTACGTAACGTAATCTTGGAAAAATGCAGGTATTCCACCAGAGACCTGACAGCACTGAAGGAATTTACGAGCTTGTAATGTAATGAAACTCTATGATCTAGATATTATTACAACATTTAAATAGATATTACGTGTCATAGTGTAACTAGATATTACACTGCATAGTATGACTAGATAACAGGTTTACACAAACCGGCTGGTATGTTTCTATATTACAATGTTAAGTTATACAAGCCAATCAGCGAAGGAGCACACATGTTCCTGAAGGAGCACATGCTCGGATGAACCTCTCCATACCTTACATCACAGGTGCAGCACCAAGTGAGGGAATGACAAAGTGTGAAATACAGATTCGTTGGAAGAATGTCTTATAAACGTATGATTTATGAAGGAGCAACAGCTTTCAGGTCCTCAATGGTTCAAATATCACCTGCTTCTCTCTCCAGCGTGCATTTGTACTGAAACCACTACCATATAAACATCAGGTCATGTTCCCACACACACAAATCATTACCATGACCCGTATATAAGGGTGTATATATATATAGTGTATATATAAAGGTGTTTACAAAGCACACGATAATACACCAACTCTAAAGTACACACTGTTGTATTACACCATTTTTGGGGGAGGGTGGCGCGGCACACAGGGTAAATGGCCACTCTCTCTCTCTCTCTCTCTCTCTCTCTCTCTCTCTCTCTCTCTCTCTCTCTCTCTCTCTCTCTCTCTCTCTCTCTCTCTCTCTCTCTCTCTCTCTCTCTCTCTCTCTCTCTCTCTCTCTCTCTCTCTCTCTCTCTCTCTCTCTCTCTCTCTCTCTCTCTCTCTCTCTCTCTCTCTCTCTCTCTCTCTCTCTCTCTCTCTCTCTCTCTCTCTCTCTCTCTCTCTCTCTCTCTCTCTCTCTCTCTCTCTCTCTCTCTCTCTCTCTCTCTCTCTCTCTCTCTCTCTCTCTCTCTCTCTCCTCTCTCTCTCTCTCTCTCTCTCTCTCTCTCTCTCTCTCTCTCTCTCTCTCTCTCTCTCTCTCTCTCTCTCTCTCTCTCTCTCTCTCTCTCTCTCTCTCTCTCTCTCTCTCTCTCTCTCTCTCTCTCTCTCTCTCTCTCTCTCTCTCTCTCTCTCTCTCTCTCTCTCTCTCTCTCTCTCTCTGCCTCTGTATGTGTGGTGTATAATCAGTGTCTGTACAACTGCGCTCAAACTGCAGCTGTTGAGGCCTGCTGCTATCTTTAGATACGCACTGACGTCACAGTGACGCACATAGGAGTTCTAATTACGGAGTGGTTTAGATGCCGTTTTAGGGGGCTGCCACTGCAGACTGCAGCTTTATATGGGCATCAGGCAAATGAGCTGCCACCTGCAGCCTGCACCGTCACGCTTACTTTGCTTTCTTGTGTAACAGCAATAAAATGTGTCAATGACACACGCGACAGAGGGTGCAGACACGCAGGCACGAGAAATTGTAACTGTACTAGTTCTCCATATGGCCATATTGTAGGACCCTATTGTGAAATATACTGTAAAATTACATGGTGCACCACCGTGGTTATTTAGCTCTAAATGTGAGCTCCAGTGTATGATATGCTGTAAAGATTACATTAGCAACTAGAGTGCAGTTCTGAAGAATCCGGATTCTCTGGGAACTATTAATACTCCACAGTAAGAGATACATATTTGTATAGAAATTAAAATATGCTAGAATATGTTTCCAACCTTCCTTTCTATAAGATAGAAAAGCCAGGCCCAGGAAATTAGTCTTCTTAATAATTGCTTTTAACGATACGTTCGATGCTGTAATTACAGTACGTTGTGAGAATACAGTCCGACAATATGTGACTTTAAAACTTAGAGAATCGAGAAGAATCTCAAAATTTACATTGTCGTTAAACCCTGTTCGACTCTAAATTATGTCGAAAGTTCATCACATCAACAAATTTGCTGTTTTGCTAGCTGTTGACGAGTACTGGACACACTTGACAGGACACAATAATTAAATATGCTTCCGTTAAGCCGCGCAACTCTGGTAACTTGTTTCTAATAATTCGGGTACAAGGTCACTGGTGGACCAGAGGGAATGCAATTAGAAGTTTTGTCATGCGACTTAGGAGTTAGCTATATTTACTCCTTCATAAATATTAGCTATATTTACAGAGAGCAGATACTATGATTGTGTGTTGAGTACCTCTCCTTACATAAAGTTCCCAGACTAAACTATCAGCTCCTCGCACCGAACTTACTAAAGTTTATGAAGGAGTATTTGGTTCTTTTCCTTAGATCATGAGGTGATTTAACGGCTGTTTTGTCACGCTTTCTAGCAACGACACCTCTAGTAACACACCCTCTACATTGTAGTGTAGTGACTCCTTGACCTACGACACGCTACAAAGTCATCATTCTAAAATACGCCTTCCATCGACGACACGCCTAGTGCCTTTTAACAACTACCCGCTTTTTTAACAACTTCACGCCTTCTATCAACTACTTGCATATAATGCACTCCATATTACCAGAACATATTTGATTATCATTACATGCTAGTAAATATGCGCATTTTACATACACTTCATATTACTATGATTACATGCCTTCTTGTAAATGTGCGCATTTATGTGCTCTGCATCTTACCACTGTCAGCCTACTAAATATCAACTAGTAACTGTATTTGTGCACATTTATAAAAGTAACAAGTTACAGTATATATCAAATAATGATCTTTATACCCTTTATATATACAGTTCTCTAAAATAAGCGGTTCACTAAGTTCAAGGTTGCTGGTTGGATATATTACATCTTGCAGTAACATAATTTCTTATCCGTACAATAATGCACTGTATTACTTCCGTAACTTATTACTGGTCTGGATAACGAATCATTGCTCGTTTGTAACGAAGCTGTGAGCTGTTTGCCTTGTTATTAATTACTGATATAGCACTAATAGTACTAATTACTAATAGTAATACTGAGCTGCAAGCACTGTGAGTTCAGCTAGAGACAGTACTTGAGCTGCTCTGAGGCCGACTAAAGCAGGAGTTGTAAGTTAAACGTTTTATGTGTTGTCATTGTACATACCGCCCGCTCACCTGTCGTTCTAAAAAGGAAACAAACGGTACACATATTTATGTTGGAACAGTGCGTGTAACTGTAATGTCACAGTGTGTGTAACTGTAATGTCACAGTGTGTGTAACTGTAATGTCACAGTGTGTGTAACTGTAATGTCACAGTGTGTGTGTGTGTTAGTGTAGTGTCGTAGTGTAAGTGTAACTACAACTAAAAGTAATTACACTCCCGAGTAGAAATTTGTCCAGTAAAGGAGGAAAAACCAATTAACTTTCTGCCGCCCGGGACTAGTTGGAATTGTTAGTTTTACGAAGGAGCAGTAACACGTGTGTACACATCCACTGTATAGTGCAGTGAACATCACATGGTACATTATATACCAGGGAAATATCAAATAGACGTTTAGAAGCCAAGCTAGTTTTTAAAAGCTTTGGTAAAATTCACGTACAATTTTCAACGCGCCAACAATTATGACACCCTGCTGTGTAAGGTCTTGTTACGTTCGTATGTGTTATAAATTGTGATAACAATCTGACGAAAAGTTGTGGTTCCTTCCTGGATAAAGAGGGTGTCTGGACTTTAATGTTGAGCTTTTCATTGTACTTATTTCAAAAACTAAATTATTATTATTCTCATTGTTGCAGTGTATACACTAATATATACAGTAATACACACCATATTATGAACCATTATCCTGCTACACACTATTCCGTTACTTCAATTAATACTTTGAATGTATAAAGTTATGATTACAAGGGAAATATTAGAGCATATAATATCAAACTCCCCCCCCCCCCCCCCCCCCTACAATAATAAATCCTCCCTAGTTGAGTTAAACTAACCTCTGGTCTGACAGGGTCCTCTATTCCCACGATACTGATACAAGTCAACCCTCTCAAGGTCCCATCCTCATCGTCCCAGTTAGGTTGGTCCGCGTCCGTCACGTCCTTGTACGCGACACAGATTGTGCGCAGCGCGTCATTAGCCATCGACTCAATAACCTGGGGGATATGTCTGTAGTCATGACAACAAGACATCTCACGTGACGTCACAACTCGTGACACGTGTGTGTTGTGGAGAAATAACAAGTAATCATAACAAGTTTATGTGTCACGTGAGTGTTAATGATATTGTGGATTATGAATTAAGCTAGACTGAATTGGCTGGTCAAGTCTATCGATCAGTCCTATACTGCTATAGTCAATATTCTTAACGTGCTATCAGTCTATAACACCACAATGACTATTGTAATGTAGTAACATAATCAAATAGTAAGAATTATGAAATCTAAGACAATTTATGAGGACTGAGACCCACTAGACTCTTACACTCATACATAAATATATAGGTCTTAATATTGTAGAAATCTGACAATATAAATATCACTGTATAATAATCTGACATTGTAATAACGTTTATATTCTCGTATCATTATAATTAGGACAATCTTATTAAATAAGGCCCGCCTCTTACCCACTGCACAACTAATACATTGCACCCTAGCACACACAGCACCGGATGTCACTGTGAGCACACACGATATAGTAGACCTACAGAGTGACCACAGAACACAATATCTTACAATAATTATTGTACTTCTGGCAGACTTCACCGCATGCTATTGTGGGTGTAGTGTGTGTAGACTGTTGTGTGTATTCTAATTGCTGCTCAGGTTGATTACATACACTCTAATTACTGTGGTATTTCAGGTCAAGTTCAGCCCTCGCACAAATGTGCACAATGTAGTAGCCGGTAGGACGTACAATTCAAATACCGTACAATACATCATATCTATTTTTCAATACATTATATCTATTTCTATTTCCCTCAGTACATTATATCACTCTACCTAGCACCTGGTGGCTGGTACGTGTGTACTATTATATCAGCTGGTTTCCCCCAGCGCCGGCACACGTTCCAACACACCTGGAATTTAAGTGTAGCACACTGCCGGACACTGCCGGACACTGGGCGGCCACGTCTGGTGCCCTCAGACACTCAGGCACGGCGCACGCAGAGTGAGTGCTGACATGTTCAACTTGTGTAGAATACCGCCACACTAGTGGATACCTTGTACTATATTAATTGTGTGTGTGTGTGCGTGTATGTGAAAAGCATTATTCTCTCCAGCCAAGGTGGCAGTATCGCTTACTACTCATTGATCACATTCGAAGGTAAATACGTCAGAGCAATCATTCTGATACTTATCCAGGTGCATCGTGGTACTACTGTACTACTAGCCAGCCAACCCGTAACTACATCAGTATTAGAGGCAAGTGCGGGTTTGCACTGCCAACATTGCCGGGATGGCTGCCGTTACCGTATTGTGTGATACAAAGTGTGAAGCTCTTCAGAGAGTTTATCAATGTACGGACAGGTGGGCTGTATTAAAAATAACACATTACAGTCAAAATCACAAGAAATTGGCGATTCCACAGAACTCCTGTTGGCGGGCAGTAAGTAGGGCTGACATTTTTCAGACTGTCCAGATATTTTGGGAGTGTTCAGGTTGGAGGGCGGGGAACAGCTAAGTATGCGAATAGCACACAGTAATTTACATCTCAGATATACCTCGACAGGGTTTATATTTGGCTTATATTCCTTAAACTCTGTCCTTGCAGTGTTTAGTAGGAAGCATCACGGCTCCCTACTAAACACTACATTGTTAAAAACTCGGCCTTCTTACGAGATCTATAAAATCTGTCCGACGGAACAAGACATGTAGTTACAATAGGGGTTGGTATCCAGTGTACTGTGTCACCTCAACAATAGATACGTGTTTACCCGTTTTACTAATTCCACTTGTTTTAAAAGTGGACTGTAAACACTGTTTACTAAACAGTGTTAAACATTGTACTGTCGTATTCCTGACATAGCCGAGCTAACATGAACACGGCTGTCCGAGTGTCCGAGTGTCCGAGTGTCCGTTTCTACATAGCTTTGGGGGGTTGTCGTCGCCATTTACGCTGGCCTTGACTTTTGGGATTTCTCAAGTAAATGGGGAGAAAATGGAGAATTTCCGCGGTGAATGACGAAAGTAGCGAAAAAAGGCGACATTTTTCAGGTAAATGGCGAATGGCGATGACACCCTCTACGTTATAACTCCTAGATTCCTAGAAGTGCAAACAATGTGTGTGAATAACTGAACTGTGAGTTGTAAGTGTGAAGAGTGCATCGCCTTCCCCAGCTCAGTAAAAACTACTGACCTCCTCAACCAGTCTATCGTAAGTCTTTGCGGTAAGTCCGACAATGCTCCCTTCCTCCCCTAAAATGTGGTCGCAGCTTCCCAGCACTACTTCAGCCGCACCTGTAACAATATCAGTGTTACATGTGATCGAGAATGTAACATGTGAATAATGTAGCATCTTAACTATCCTCTGAAAAACAAGCCCTCAAACTTACATTTTCTCAAACTTTTTAACCACGTGACGTCACTTTTGTGTAATGCATGTTATCATCTACTCAAAGTTTTAGCGAATGCTTTTACGTGAAACGTTGAATACAAAAATTTCGCAGAAACAAGTCAGAGTTAATTCTGGAAATAACCAGTATGATAATTGATAAGCTTCTAAGCTGGTCAATTTACCTTTGACAAAGATTCTGAACCCAGCTTCAGTCTTAAGGACAGTAGCCATACACTTCCTCTTGCTGTTGAAAGTGTACACCTTAAAGAAGCTCTCCTCGGTGTTGTCTTTCCTGATGGCCTCGTAATCCTCACCCAGTTCCCCAGCAAACTGCAGCAGAGAACACTCTGTCTTGTTACCAAGATGTCGGGGCAACTGTCCTGGCTCTTTAGACTTCTGAAAGTATAAGTCACGCGTCAGTCAATACACTCTGGTGATGAAACAAATAAAACTTTACATATTATATTATACAGAAGTATATACAACTGGACGACTATTTCTGTAGAAGTGCTTACAGATATAGCACTAGGACTCTAGGAGTGTTGGTAGCCAGTGAACGTGTGAAACTAACAGTCTCCCAATTCAAAAATTTATTGCAAGTATAATACTCTGGTATTGCACTTGCCATGGAACTTTAATTTGGGAAAATAAAGTTTAAAGTTTCACTTGTAAAGTCAAGAAATATATCCATACATTTCTATCATACGACTTGAAATAGCAATTGTTAGCACTTATAAAACAATCAGATAAGATGAAAAGGAACTAACGATGACGTTGCTAGAGTAGCTAGAGTTGACGGAGACACTGATAGCAAACAGGTCTATCACACTCTCAGTCAACATGTCACGTGATGGCACGTGCTTCACCAGCTTCCCCATGAAGAAGCTCTGAACCACGCTCATCCTGTTTGTTGTCAAGGTACCTGGAGAGGAGATATTATAACGAAGTTAGGTCGGTGCCAGGGTCTTTTGATACTCAATATGACAAAATTTTTGTGCCATGAAAACTGAAAAGGGAGCTGGGAGATTCTATAATATTTGATATCATTTATAATAAAAGTGGATTTTTTAAATTTGGAAGAGTGGATCATTAACTTCTCAACATCAATTTTCGAACAAACTTGTGATATCAGATATGACGTACCGGTTTTATCAGAGCAGATAGCCGTAGCGTTACCCATAGTCTCACAAGCATCCAAATGTCTTACCAAGTTGTTATCTTTCATCATCTTCCTGACTGAGTAAGCAAGAGAGATGGTGACGGCTAGCGGCAGACCCTCAGGAACTGCTACCACCAGTACAGTCACACCGATGATGAAGAATTCGAGGAGCTCTTTAATGTACTCCGGCCGCCAGCCCTTGTACAAGGTCCACTGTCCGGTACATTCTGTCGCATCGTGGATCGATAGCTTCCATAGGATCTCTGAGACAAGTGACATATCAAAACTAATTCTTATTCTTGTAATTCTTGGACCTAAACGTCAATTCCATAATTGACAAAACTATGTATATACAATCGAAACCATAATGAGTATATTAGGGGGGGGGTCCAACTACATTTTTGTACACTAATTTAGCGTACATTTGGCAAAAATCTGATGGCCATGTACATTAATGGTCATAAAAAATGTACAAAAAATCGGAAATCCCTGGAAACGGAACAGGAAAAACAGGAAAAAACATATTTTGTACATTTTTGTACATTTTTGTACATTTTTGTACATGTACATTTGGCAAAAATCTGGTGGCCAAACAGAAAAAACATATTTTGTACATTTTTGTACATTTTTGTACATTTTTGTACATGTACATTTGGCAAAAATCTGGTGGCCAAACAGAAAAAACATATTTTGTACATTTTTGTACATTTTTGTACATGTAAATTTGGCAAAAATCTGGTGGCCATGTACAAAAATGTAGTTGGACCCCCCCCCCCCCCCCCCCCCCCCCCATATTATATCAAAAACAACCATAATAAACGGTTGTATTAAAAGTAATACTGTTTGCTGGGTATATAACAGGGTACATAACTGAAACAAACTGAAACTAACTGAAACTAACCTTCACTGTCTGTAGTATTATCTTTACATGCCATTTCCCCGAACATGAACTTGGAAACACAGAACTTTATAATGAGGACCAGTATAGTGAGTACAGCGGCCACGGTTCCAAAATATCCAATCTGTATTGCTAGTCTGGTTAGCTTTCCCTGCAGCACAGATTTTTCTTTCTTGCTGGAAGCTTTGGCCGGTTTGTGTTTACCGTTGCCGTTTACCATTTTGGTTCCCTCCTCTTCGTCTCCTTCCTTCTGATCTGGGGAGAGACGTCACGTTATTTAAAACGATAAATTTGATTTTTCCTTTTCTCTGTTTAACAGTTCAATCCGTGTCACGTGGTAAAGAAGACACACGTGATACAATCCCACCAATAACATTAAACCGTGTTACGTAACGTGACGTCATTCTAGTTCTTAAGTTTCTTCGGTACGTGGGTAGTTGTCATTGTGGAGGATATTATGCATACATTTTCTTTTTATGTGCAGCTTCCAACATTAATTGTAGAAGTATATCATAGCTGTTCTAGTGATTATAAGATTGTGTAATGTGTATCATAAGTACAGCTCTGTATATCTACGAATATTATTGTGAAACCTCGAGATGAATGAGGAGCAACGTTATCAAAATATTATCAAATAACACGATTCACACATAATATGTTTATTTTAATGCATGTTGAATTGGTTCATTAGAACATTTAATTGGAATGTATTAGTTTGATTAACAACAATGAGTTTGACAGAACTTAGAATCAACGATTGAACCACACATTTTTAATTAATTTTACACTATTTTATCTGAAGGACTGACGGACTGATTACCGATAAGGGGATGCAGATGCTTGGATCCATTAGTTAGGATCCGATATGAGCCCTGGTGTAAAACAGGGATATTAACAAACTATCAATTTCCTGGTTGATCAATTATTCATAATGAATTTGAGTGCGGGGAAAAACAATGCACTCCTGGCAAACATTAAAAAATAAACCATGGCTGCACAACAAGCACTTGGCAGCAGAGTGCTTAGAAGTTCTGCAAAATGAAAATATATACAGCTGAATAATGAATATTCAAATGCAGCTGATTGCATATCATAAAAACACACCATGTCAACGATTACACGAGTAAAAACTCTTACCCTCTTCTTCAGGCTCAAACTCTGCCGGAATGATATTATAAATATACTGATCTACAAGTATTACAGTAGAATACTGCTGTCATGCAAGATTTTTGTGAGATAAGCAAGATTACAAAATATACGAAAATTAACAAAGTTGAGTCGCTGGAAAAAGTGAGGTTAACAAATAAAATTTGCAACCTTAATGAACTAGTAACTATGAAAATTGTTATCGTTTTTTTAAATCAGGACATTATTTATGAAACACCCTGTATATAGCAGTTTTCTTTAAAGACCAATGAATGATTTCTCACAAATAATAAAGGTATAGCGTTAACGTAGAAAAAGGTAAGGCAAGATAACGAAAACCAGAAGTTAGCAGAAAAATGCTGGTTAACTGTGAGAATATATTCAAAGAATTAAAGATCACGTGACAATCATTGTACTAACCATCATCAGATTCCTCGTCATCCTCCTCATCCTGCCCCTCAATAAGCTGAACAATAATACCAGCTTGAGAATTGGGACCCACTGCCGTGACGACCATTTTACAGGACCCCTCCATAACTGAAGTACCAGAGAGAAGCATAGGATCCTTCTCCACTGACTTGGTGATGTGATCTGTTTCACCAGTTAGTGTGCTCTCGTCGATGGAGAGATCGTTACCAGTAAGGTATATTCCATCTGCTGGAAGGATATCTCCATATCCCAACTGCAAGATATCACCAACCACAATATCTTTAGTGAATATTTTCACAGATTCACCATTTCTTACGACAGATATTGTAGCGTCGTCATCCAGCTGGTTTTGCAGAGACCTAAACTGGCGTTCCTTAGACCAATCATTTCCAGCTGTAACTACTATAACAAGGCACACCGAAATCAAAATAGCAGCCCCCTCAATCCAACCCGTGTCTGGATCATCTTCAACAGTAAGTCCTAATACAATACTTATAACAGCAGCCACCACTAAGATAATCAGAGTAACGTCTTGAGCTGCTTCCCACATTAAAACCCAAAAAGCTTTGGGGGGTTTTGGGGGAATAAAGTTCGTTCCGAAAATTTCAACACGAGCCGCCAGATCCGCCGTATTTTTAGCATCCAATCCTTTTGTAGCATCTGATTGTAACAATTGCACGATCTTATCGATCCCTCCATACTTTTCATCTATCCTTTTTTTACCATCCGTAGACCTGTTTTCCATAAGCTCCTTGAGCTCGGAGAGGGTAATGCTAAATTTGCTCGTCATGGCGGTAGCTGCTAAACTCCTGTCTAAGCAGGTATTTTCCTGTTCTCTAACCTCTGCTTGTGTAGCAACTTTTACATACCTAAAAGTTTCTTTGGTTATTGTTACGATAGACGAACAGTGATCATTTTTAACAATAAACTTACTGAGCAAACTAAACAATTTTACCGTGAGAATAGTAAATACTTTTGTTGTATTTCTTAGCTAAATGGTTAAATAGAACAAGTGTATCTGTAATAAAAGGTAATTTTATGAGCATTTATATGACTAGAATCATGGCCACATACCTAAATAGAGTCACAGAACTATTTGCAGTGTGACTGTGGCAAGTTATCACAGCAGGTAGAGTAAATTACTTATATTAAAGGAATGTTCAAACGAATTTATTATCCAAGCATTCATAGTGATATTTATAATATATGCAATATCGCTGTGACGAACATCATCTTTTTGTTATAGTAAAATTTGTACAATGAAAGTTAATGATTCATCATTAAAACTCACTGTATTGTCTGGTCAGGTTAATGTTTGAATATTTCAGCATAATGAATCCAGTAATAAATAAATGCTACAATTTTAGAATAATGAATAAAATAATAAGTAAACTGTAAACACTACAATTTATTCATTAACGTAAAATTTTAACGGAAATAGGTTGAACCCTAAATAATCAACGAAAAATATTACATAAGAGACCAACTTGGTCTGCCCAAGCAGGCGTTAACAGTCAATTTTATTGGCTTATATTTACTGTAGCAGCATAGGTGTACGTGGTGTACCTTCTAATCAGATTACATCCATAGAAAAGACAGTCAGGCAAAAGAATATAAAGAACAAAGATCTACAATGTCAATATTGCTTGCAGAGCATAGCCAAAATTGCCATAAAGAAAAGACTTCCATTCACATCGAATTGGTTTATTATGCAAAAAGTGTCTATTATGAAAAGTTTGATAATTTTGTAAAAGGCAAGCCGGAAGATATATGCGGTATAAATGATAAAGTTGATAAATATTAGTGTAGTGCAAGGATGTATTGTGCTAATCTAATTAGTGGGCAACCACTGCTGCAATCAGCACAGATTAAAATTGAAATTAGCTTGGTCAAATAGCACCAGGAAGCGAGGAGATTGTTGCTTTTCCTTGGCCTTGGGTGCAAGAAATATAAATACATACAAATTAAAATGTTTTGATTCTCCTAGATGGAGACTAAGACTGATTTATAGCTAATATGTGCTATTAGTTTTACCTTTCAAAACTGGGAAGCAAGAATAGTGGAACTATTGAACAGATCCTTAAAAAATACACATACAGTAAAGCTTGTCTGCTCATATAGATTGAGTCCCAGAATTTCTAATGACCGGAGATGGACCAGAGATGGACCAGAGATAGACAAAAATTTAAAAAGTTGAAACGTCAAATTTCTCCAAATCTGTGCAACTGTCTAGTGTGAATGCTTTCAAGAACGATGTCCCATGCATACTACCTGCTCTCTTCCAGAATAGGACCCCAAGGTTTAATGTTAAATGTTAAAAGCAATGTTAAATCTTGTCACAGCTCTCCATAAAAATCTTCATGAAGATAAATTTAAATATAAAACACTTTTCAGTGGTGGTTTTAGAAGCTATGGTTTTAGAAAATAATATCCAATACTAGTGAAACAAATTTTATTGAAACAAATTTTAGTGAAACAAATTTAAAATTTTATCCTTTATCCTTTACTTTGTTGCAATTTTCGATTACAGTGTATAATTAGGTCATATGCAATGCTACTGAATTAATCCAATGTTTAAGTTGATGTTGACATGATAGTTTTATACATTTAACTTTACACTGATGTATTAGTTAATTACGATTAATTTTGTGAACTGAGTTTTCTCAAAATGTTTGTCGTTTCTAATAGAGCTGAAGGGAGTGATATCTACCAGCTCTGCTTTTGGTCCCATCGACCAAAAGCAGCTTTTGGCTGATCTTAAAATTTTATATGACAGATCTCTTCTAAATGATCCCTAAACATATGAATATATAATAAGCAACTGCGACCGCCCTGAAAATTTTAGGATATGATCTATAATATATAGAGCATATAATATCCTAATAAGTTCAGGGTGGTTGCTTGAATACTGTAAAAGAGTTTATATACATGGGATCATAATTTTCTTATGCATATAATTACACATTTAAACACTGACCTTAAGGGGCGGGGGGGTCTTCATCAAAATTCTCTCGAAATTGATTTTATAGTTGTTTCTGATAGAGGGGAGTGATATCTATCAGCTGCTTTTGGTCCCATGGAAAAATATTGTTCCTAGCCGAAATTATCACTGGTCAAAGGTCAGCGCTTATGGGTAATTGTATTGCGCGAGCGATTTTCAATCGCGCGTTCTGAAAATCGAGTCTAAAAATCTATCCTCTCCTACATTTTTTAGCAATCACCCTGAAACTTTTAGGATATGTTCTAGGATCATTTAGAAGACATCTTTCGAGCCGAATTTTGAGATAGGCCTTAGAAGATTTTTTATTCAATTTAGAAAATCTTGGACCTGGAAAAATCGTCAAAAAATGAGGTCCAAGATTTTCAAAATTGAATAAAAAATCTTCTAAGGCCTATCTCAAAATTCGGCTCGACAGATATCTTCTAAATGATCCCTAGAACATATCCTGAAAGTTTCAGGGTGATTGCTCGAAAAATGTAGGAGAAGATAGACTTTTAGACTCGATTTTCAGGGCGTGCGATTGAAAATCGCTCGCGCAATACAATTACACATAAGCGCTGACCTTTGACTGGCGATAATTTTGGCTAGGAACAATATTTTTCCATGGGACCAAAAGCAGCTGATAGATATCACTCCCCTCTATCAGAAACAACTATAAAATCAATTTCGAGAGAATTTTGATGAAGACCCCCCCCCCCCCCCCCCCCCCCCCGGCCCCCTTAAACCAGCAACAACTTCAGCTAGAAACAATATTTTTCGATGCCCACCAAAAACAGCTGATAGATAATGTTACTAACATGGCCATTTATTAAAAACGACTTTTGAGGGCATTCTAAGCCCCCTTAACTTTAGTGTTCTGAAATATATAGTTTTTATTATTCTTTTATTTGATATAAGCTTAATGGAGCATATAATATGTTAAAGTTTGATAAAATTTGATACATGTTTCGTATCCCAATATCTTCGGCGGCGCGCGCTTCGCGCGAGAAAAGTGGCATGCAACGTATGTCAAGTTAAAATTTATGTTGTTACATAAACAAATCAAAGACAAGTACTGTGTTAAATTTGATGTTTTAAAATTATGAATGAAGCAATTTAAATTTGGTATTACAGTAGTCCCCTCTATGACACAGTTTTTGGGATGACAATTTAACGGCAAATAACTGCGTTTACTTTGGACATGCCTCAAGATGTGAGAAATACAGCCGTGTAGTGGTGAAGGTGGCCTTCTCCACATTCGCATTATTGATATCCAATGCTTTATATTTTACTTTAAAATTGTAATTCAATAAATCAATAAGTTTTATTTCACATTCTTTTAATCTTCAATTGAATAGGAGCTTGAAACCCGATTTAGGTAACTAGAAATAAACTTAGAGGAATAGAATGTTCTTTGATGATTATATGGTAAAATGTATATAGATATGCGTATTTGTTTTATGGAAAGTTGTTGAGTTAAGTGAGACAAATACCTTTGTCGTAACTTTTAAGACTATTATTTGTGAAAGCAAAATGTATTTAATGTTAAATTTTTTATAAACTGTAATATAAATTGTAATCTTAAAGAGAGTTGATTGATCACTACACTTAACACTACAATGAATAAGTTGGTGCTCAGCTGTTTATGCCTTGCTCTAACCAGAGCCCTCTCGCTTGCAGTAGCGTGCGACCGCCGAAGGCAGCAAAGGATAGATATATATATATATATTCTACTTGTGAAACAAGCGCGTCACGCAGTACGCGTATACACATGGCTATGTGTAGTTTATGCCCAATGCGTTATGAAATATTTCTGATGTAAATATTAAATGTTTTCTTAAGGGACAATCGATCACTACAAGTTGGTGCTCAGTGGACTCTACTGTTAACTGTACAGTAACTTAATAAATTGTTTCAAACAGTATACACATAATGTCACAATGACCCCTTATAAAAATAACCCTTCAAGAACTCAATATTTTGAAAATCACCCTTGGCCTTGCGGCTCCAGGTTCAAATCTAAACTGTCTATTTTGACAAAGTTCTTTCTCGCCCCTCTTACTACTGTATAATAGTAACTCAATTGAATATAATGCAGATAGTGAAACAAATTTTTTTAGTGAAACAAATTTAAAATTGTATCCTTTATTTTACAATAATGATATAATAATATTTATAAGCCTCCGTTTTGAAAGTTTTAAATTTTAATATATTTTCATTTCTGTTTAAAATTCAATTTAATGTAGAAGTCAATAACTGGCCGCCAAATCCGTGCATTCTTGAAAACAGGATTAACTTGTTTATGAATTGTAGCGCGATGCACTACTGGGCCGCGCCACGCATCCATTATAATGCTTCTCGCAACCACTTATTTCACATAGCCATGTGCCTACGCGTACTGCGAGACGCGCTTGTTTCACAAGTAGGATGTCGCGCGCTACGGCGGTCGCGCGCTACTGCAAAGCGAGAGGGCTCTGGTTAGAGTAAACCACTTATGCAGATCGGCGAGATGCGAAGGATCGGCAAATCGGCGAGATGCGAAGGATTGACATCGTGAATCAAGTTTATGATTATACGACAAATAGAAATAAATTTAAAACTATCCGTGGTTTTTTAATAAATTATAATCTTACCTAAATCCAAAGCCAGCTTTGTAAAATTTATTATTAGATCATAATATATCGTTTGTAGCGCGATGCGTTACTGTGCCGCGCCGCGCACTCAATGAGGCTTCTCACAGCGACTCTCTAGATCGGCGAAATGCGCTACTGTGCCGCGCCGAGCTGAATTGACATCGTCAATTAATATATCGTCAATTCTAAATATTTACAATGCAACATTTCATTAGTCTATAGACAAGCGTACTCCAGCCCCTACACGCATCCGTTCTTATGCGGCGCGGCTCAGGCCGCGCACTTAATTGAAGAGGTCAATTCATCGCAGCTCGGCAAGACACATGGTAGCACATTTTGCCGTTCTAGCGAGAAGCTGTGAGAAGCCTCATTGAGTGCGCGGCACATTAACGCATCGCGCTACAAACCGCGCACGCACGTATTATTTTATACTTTTTGCTTTCTAATAAATATCGTGTCAATGTGTACGTCTAAATGTTTATATTTTGTGTAAACCGAATCCAATTGAGATTAGTGACAAGGATATAAAAGACCCAAGTGCCTGTACGGCTTTTTCGGACCCCTGTGGACCACTACTCTTGAAATCGCTCCAGTAATTGTACTTGTACTTGTACTTGTACTTGTACTTGTACTTGTACTTGTACTTGTACTTGTACTTGTACTTGTACTTGTACTTGTACTTGTACTTGTACTTGTACTTGTACTTGTACTTGTACTTGTACTTGTACTTGTACTTGTACTTGTACTTGTACTTGTACTTGTACTTGTACTTGTACTTGTACTTGTACTTGTACTTGTACTTGTACTTGTACTTGTACTTGTGCTTGTGCTTGTACTTGTACTTGTACTTGTACTTGTACTTGTACTTGTACTTGTACTTGTACTTGTACTTGTACTTGTACTTGTACTTGTACTTGTACTTGTACAAATAAAAGATCAGGTCGTCATCTCCTCAGTATGTTTGGTAACGCCTAATGAACCTCATTAATACACGCTAGCGCCTTACTCTTGATGAGATTAAGTGACGATATCACTGACTGAGTGCAAAGATCGCGTAGCCGATGGATTTTAAAATGGCCATAACTCAGCCAAATTTTGAACAATGAACTTGAAACTTTGGGAAAGGTTTCACATTATTAAGCAAAATGTGTGTAATCAATTTTGAGCTTTTAACTTAAGACGTTCTCATTTTATAAAGACAATAGTGAAAAAGAGGGTGTGTCACGCCACGCCCACTATAAGTATAATTAAGCGTGGCTTTCAGGAAATTTAAATTTGACCCATATCTATAATACCTGAAATTTTTTTTAATTTTTGGGCCACCCTGATTCATTAAACAATTAATGAACACTATTATTCGATCATGAATTGCCTTAAAAATAATTTTGGACATGTTCCATTGAAAATAAGCAAGCTCTGTCACTACCGCTACGGCGGTGAAATTTCGGGATTAGTGGAAGATAACAAACACTGTCGGTCTCCTATAGTCCTATACCCTCGGGAGGATTATAAGTTAAGTTGGGGCTAACTCGTTTCCAAATCATTTAAGTCACCGGAATTATGTCAAACATAAATATGTCTCGTAAGGTACGTAGTAAAATTGGGCCGAGTTTATAAATCGTAAACCTCGGCGGCGTTCATAATAAACGGTTTATTGCACGATCTTAGTCAACTTCTTTAAAGTTTTAAATCGTGCACTATAAAAAGTATTGATCTCATACAATCACAATACGTGGTAGGCACCGAAATTATTTTAATAAAAGACAAGACGTAATTCGCGTCAGCAATATGACTATTAACAAAATATCCCGCAGAATAAGCGTAGGGACCAAAAGTAGAATAGGCGATTGATGAAATCTAAATACTTTCACTAATAGTTACTCACTAGGCGCGGGATCGGAATAATATGATAAATGAAAATGAATAATTATTCTACACTCCCTTTCCTAGTTGGTCAGTTGGTCAGTTTTGCTCCGAAAACAATACTTTTATACTTTATGACATGATGGTTACCAGATCATATTACTGCATAATAACAGTACACAGTCTTCCTTGCGATGATGTGAACCCCTTGATACTGAATCAAGCAGGGTTCACATTATCACGGGAACGTTTGGTTCAAATTATCTTTTACTTGAACAGTTACAAATTTAAATTGAATCTAAATTTATCACAGATCATAGTAACAGACTGAAGTGTAGCACAGTTTACGGTTACCTACCATACTATAAGTTATATCTTGATGCAAGATAGTTATAACTTATAATAACTTATAAGGTATCTTGATGCAAGCAAACTACTTTGGGACTATTATTTAGAACAGCTTTCTTTAACTTGAACATTTACAAATTTTATTTTAATTTAAATTTATCACAGATCATAGTATAAGTAACAGACTGAAGCACAGTTTAACTACACTTAAACTTCGAGACTGCAGATATATCTTGAGTAGCTTTATACAAGTAAGCAGACAAGGAGGAAGGTTGAGACCAAATATGATGAGTACAGCTGTCCTTATACATAGCTGTCCTATTACATAGCTGCTCCACTTCCAGTTCACTAACATTCAGTTCTCTTTAAGTTTAAGTTCTTTGTTTAAGAATATCATAATTGTATCAATTCCGTCCCAACTCAGAGGAAGAAAGAAGAAAAGACAATCGGACGGATTGCATGATCTTAATTAACTTTTATTTTCTACTTTCCTATTAAAGTCTTAAGTCGTGCACTATAAAACATTATTGCTTTCATAAAATTATAACGTGGTAGGCACCAAAGTTATTTTATTAAAAGACGTACCTTACTCGGGATTATTATGACCGGGATAAAGTGGCGGGTTTAGGGTAATTTCGCCATATTTTTCCCGAACCATATTTTCACCAGTCGTTAATAAACCCGCCGACTCAGCTTTTAGGGTTCCCAAGGGGTATGGGTGCTCATATTTTAATGGTTGTCTTATATTCACTAAAGAATACTATTGGGACACTTGTTGTAGGTTTTTCGACTTCATTTGGCTAAAATTGCAAAAAATTTACCTTTTTGCCCAATTCTTGTCATATATCCTTATCGTCAAAGTTGATTTAAATAGGCCAATTTTTAATTTCTTAGGTAGTGACTATCTCTACATAATGAAATAGGACTCAAAGTAAAAGTAACAGTTAAATTAAAACTCGAATTAATTAAAACGGTCAATAACATGAATCAGTTTCATCAGTCATTTATTCATAATTCTAAACAATGTGAACGATGCATTCTTTCAAAGATTTTCTACAAATTGAGTCATAATGGTTATTTGATACACGTAAACATGTAATGCTAATTCAAAACAACGAATTTGCTAGAGTCTACTTTCAACAATTATTGATAATTCGACTTGTTTCACAAGTTTTAGCAATGCGAAAATTTTTGAACCTGCTTATCTCTAATAAGGAAATTTACATCTCAGACAAAATTTTTGAATCTAAAATTGAAAGGTTGGACACCGGTAAAATGGCGACCGGGAAAATGTGGTGGGTTTTGAGCAATTTCGCCATATTTTTCCCGAACCATATTTTAACCGGTCGTTAATAAACCCGTCGTAATAATCCCGAGTAAGGTAGGTAATTCAGCAAAACTGAACACGTACCTCCGATCATATTTTGTGATTTGTATTTCGTATGAGCTCTGAATCTTTTCCTAGATCGAAAAACACATACCTTCTCTGTGACGCAAGGCAAATTTCCGTCGATTCATAATTATTGGCTTGTCGCGGCGCCGCGATTTTTGGCCAAAATAATCGCGATTTTCTTTTGTCCTTACTAAGGACAAAAAATCGCGATTATTTTGGCCAATAATAATTGGGATAAGAAACATGTATCAATACAACATACAATCTAACTGTTTTGCTGAGGGGGAGGAGTAAACGCTTCACATTTAAATACTTACAACTTACAAAATCTAAAACCATCAACACGGCTAGTTAATATTATTAATATTGAATATGTAATATCTTACTGGGCCGCGCTCAGCCTGTCATTCCGCCTAATCTCTATTCTCTATTAACAACATTAAAGCCTGGGGTCCTCAGGTAAGACGCAGTGGCGCGCGAAAGGGCTCTGATTTGATCAGTAAACCATCAATTATATTTATAAACATTATAAAATGAATTACGACCTCCATCGCAATGAAAAAAGTGCAAATATATACTCATTGGAAATTAGTGCGCGCGTGATGGTGACCAGCATTCACGTGATTGACGGATGTTACTCGTCTAAATTTCTTCGAAGTAGGCGAAACCATTAACAATGATCAATCACGTGATCGTTTAATTATAATCAATTGCAGCCTCGGAAAAAACACATGCACGCTAATTACCAATTTAATTGGAAAGAAGGGCCATAAAACTGAAAACCAACGCGCAGCTTAAAGACTTTCGCTTTCATTTTCAAAAGCTTCCACTTTGACAAAGCATAACTCGCCACCGTGTGCTTTCTTCTTTTGCAGCTTCTCGGCTCTCTCATACCCAGCAGACCTTACTGGCTGGCGAAATTACTACATGCTACAGATGATCGCGTCTTCACAGCTTGTTGAACTCCGCGCACGCTCGTTAGTTCATTGCATTTGCACGCTTCAATTATTCCAAGAATGCAATTTCACCACGTAATGCGATTCAGCCAATCAGAGAACAAGAATCCGCAAAGTTAAACATTAAAGCTGTGCACTTTTATAAGGCCCCAAATAAGACTTTTCGCGATAATTCAAAATCTATAATGTCCCAGGTCCCTAATTTTCCTCCTGGGGAGGTAACGTTATTTTTACAAGGCGAACATTTTGTTGAAAACTAGATGTTTCTATCTCTTTTATTTTCGAAGTTAGGCCCCTACCAGTAAGGTTTCCTGGGTTCTCTTTACTAATCTTTCCTACTCTGGTAGCCTGCAGAGTATGTTTTACTTGTCATACGTTGTATGACCCGCCGCGCACGAAGTGCGCGGCTCCCCCCGTATCGTCAGGACCATAGTGAAACGACCGTGGGGGTCGCAACGTGATAGTGATACAAGGTTTTACGATTAGTCCTATCTCCTGGAATACCTACTGTTACCGCTCTTCAACATTCTCGTCCTTCTGTTCTGGCAGTCCAAATAATACAACGTTTCTGCTCCGATCCTCCTCCTGGACGACGGACTTGACCAATTTCTTCAGAGTAGCCGGATCTGCCAAACTATCAGTCTGGCAGACCGTAACTTTCTCTGCAGCAGCTTCACTGTATGACTTGAACTGTTCTTTCAAGTTGCTCTCCACTGAAGACTTGACCACAGTCTTTACTGCGTCGAGCTGCTTGTCCTTGTTGTCGATAATCTGCTCCTGTAAGCTGATTACCCATGTCTGATTCTCGATTAACTGGCTCTTGATGGAGCTCAGCTCAGCCTTCAGCTGTTTCATTTTTTCCGCCTGAAACCGCACAAAGTGGAACGATTCAGAAAACAGTAATAATAATATGCCAAAGTGTCCTTTATCGCACGTTTACACACTGCTGACGTCACGTCAACTGGAGCAGTGCACCCGACTTGTTCCATCGCTTTAGGTATCCAAGCAGAACATTTCCAGAGCAGATCCTCCAACTCCTTGTCGTTAACAGTAGCCATGGCTTATACGCTACAAGCACACACAGTAATCTCTCCGTTAAATTAGGCGAGCTGATAAGAGACAACAAAATTACAAACGAATGCAATTTGTGTGTGGCGTGAACTGTCTCTCCTGGCAGCCTTTGCACCGCTACTGCCTCTTTTCGTCACTGCGGTAGTGCTCAGTGCTTTGCAGATTGCTCTATCTAGAGCCCTTGCGCTTGCAGTGGCGCTTGTGAAACAAGCGCGCCCACAGCGGCGCGAAAGCACATGGTTAGGTGAACTTTGCAGATTCTGGTGATTTTCTCTATGACAGAAGTATAGGAGATTTCAGGAAAGGGACGCACAATGCATCTTTTATAAAATCGGGGGAGATCGGAAGACCTGATTACAATTAAACAGTTTGCATTTATAACAAAATTAATATAATCCTGATCTTATTTAGGCAGTTGCGCCCAACCAAGATCAAGCTACCAAGTACCATGGAAAGATGACGAATCAAAACTAATTAAAAACTGCTTGATCTCATACGACAATTGCGCCCAATTAATCTTGCAATCCTGTTTTGTGAGCTTCCGATCAGATAGAGATATATATAATAGACTCAGAGCCTTATTTATACTGGTAGTGGCTCATTCCATGGGGCCGGCCAAGCGATCTGGAATCTAGATCGTAATCAGTACTAGTAGTGACTTGTTAGTCTCGCATAGCCCTTAAATAATCTTGTACGGATGGCTCATGCCTGTTTACTTTGCATTTAAATCCTTAAATCCTAAGTGGAAACCTTCAAGCTGGTTGGAACCACGTTTGCCGGCGAGGAACTTTCTGAAAAATGCCATAACAAATAAATTGATAATAGTTCACTTTCAAGTTTCATTGCTCATATATATGTATATAGAGTGATTTAGCACGCTTCACGCTTGTAGTTATTCGCCTCCAGCAGCAAGTACTATTACTAAGGACAAAATCAACCACTTCATCCTATGTTGTGGTGATCGGGAAAAGTTAGTCTATAACTATGAGTATGAGTCTATAAGTATAACATTAGGAGATTAATGATCTAACACCACAGGGGACCGTTCAATATTATACAAGGAATGTTGAGACCAAATATTATGATGAGCACAGCTGTCATTAAATAGCGGCTCCACTTCCAGTTCACTAAAATTCAGTTCTGTTTAAGACTCTGGGACGATATTTCAACGAATGGTTATTTTTCATAAATAGGTATAGTTCTTCAAAATAGGGGCAAGAAATGTAAATTTCGTCACATACGTCATTTTAAAATTTAGATAGATTTTCTTTCATATCAACAGTCCTTATTATAGTTGGAATGGATTTTATACAAGAAATGTAGAAACCCATGCCAATTTTATTGGGCAGGAAAAGTGAATTTCGTCACATTTCAGTAACTTAGTAAAATTAAACTAAGCATTGTTAAAGTTGAGTTCTAATTTGCTGAACAATAGCCAACCAATAATTCCTGGAAGAACATCGTATTCTAACCGAGGTATGGTTCTTAAAATAGGGTCAAGAAACATCGTCACAAAATGACGATGTTTTGTTTTTAGCTGCCCTCATCGTTCATGCATGGAGAGTATGCCTTTTTACAATATGATATTTTTGACTCGCTATTTTGTCGTGGCGTGATTTAATTGGCGAATGGTGAAATATTTGTGAGTTGGTGTACTCCAACTATCGATCAACTATAACTTAAATCTTATTACATATCACTCTTTCTAAGTCTAATATCTTGTCCTCACAATTTTACCATTTCTGATATGATTTTTTTTGTGTCCTCTTTGGCTATCTGTTTCATCTGTTGAACCAACTGTTGAATGTTGATGGATAGATCAATCTGGAGAAATGAAACATTTTTATGATCTTCACACAGTCTCATTTTTCGGCTTTTATTACTGACTTACTGACTTAGGTCGGCTCCAAAGTCCAACTCCAAGCAGCTGTGTACCCCCTCCACACTGACACACTGACTCAGGGATAGAGTCAGTCGACACTTTGTGCACGAGACATGCGCGTCTAAAAGCCAAAGGAAAGAAATAAATACAGAACGTAATAATTTAAAGGAAGGCCTCCGGAGTCCGGTCCAAGTTCTAGTGTCAAGAGTCCGATTGCATACAGGGGTCGATCGAGTCCTTGGCCTCGGTTATTTTGACGAATCCTCGCCCTCGGCCAAAAAACTCGCTCCTCTTATATGAAGAGTGCAATCCTCAAAGTTACTTAATATCACAATAAAGTTATTTTATCAAGTAACTTTTACTCATCGATGTCACTTGATATCACAATCAAATCATTCTTATCAAATAACTTGCAATATTTAAATTCACCTGGTACCACAATCAAGTCACTTTAATCAAGTTACTTGATTTCCTCAACGTCACTTAATAACACAATTTAAGTCACATTTATCGAGTAACTTTTACTCATCAAACTCAAAGTCACTTCTATCGAGTTATTTCAACTTGTATTCCTCAAAGTCACTTCTATCAAGTTATTTCAACTTGTATTCCTCAAAGTCTCTTTTATCAATTTACTTGTAGTTGTACTCATCAATTTTACTTAATGTTACAATCGAGTCACTTTTATCGAGTATAAACTATACTGTTATACTTAGACTAATTGATCTGGCCGCTAAATCATGTATATATAATATATTTATTTAAAATCAAAAATTTCAATTTCAATTTTTTTAAATTGACGATGCAATTAGTACCAGAAAGTAACATGAAACTGCTCGCAAGTCGCAGGTGAAGGAATTTACTTATGCAAAGTCCAAGATTTCATCTGTGTCGGCGTTCTCAAAAACCCCCTCATTTGAGAAGTATCGTCAAACTTCACAGTTATCTCCCCTGAGATAGTGAGATAAGCTTGAAGCTGTTAGAAGAGATATTAGTATTTTGTCCATTGTTAATGTTATTGTTAATTGACTGACCCGGTGCGCGCTACTTCAAGTTCAAAGAAATGTAGACTTGTGTCATCCGTCAAATAAAATACAACATCAAATCTCTGCTTATACAATCTGTTATAAATATAGGCATATAACTTATAGGGTTATAGGCTATGCCTAATTTGCCTATACTTATAGGGTTCAATTTTTATGCGGAAACAGTTTCTTTTAATCTCCTGTTGCACTGTGCACACCGTCTGTTTACTTTACCATATCGGATATTTAATAGTTTATATCCTTTTGATCTACTTTTCTTGCGAATTTTTCCAATCAAAGCTTAGTATAAATCATAATTTTATCTTAAACAGACATGTTGGTTGTTGGTACTTTGAAAGTAGCAAACTGATGAGTTTTGCTAAATATGAAATAGTCAGGGTCATCGTACTGTCTTTATGTAGACAGCCAGAGTCCCTTACAAGTATTTTTTGTTTCAGTATAATGACGAATGATTAATTTTATTTAGGAAAATGGACCTTGATGAAGATTCCGAAATAACACCCTTCCCAAAAACTTTGAGATGGACCAAACGAGACTACAACCTCCTTGTACTAGCGATGCTGATCAAGTTTGGTGATGCGGTTGAAATGTATCTGCCCGGCGTGATCACACAAAAAGTATCCTGTGAGCTTGGGGTCTCCGGTTTCCAGGAAGGGACCCTTTCCATCACCCTTTATGTTTTCATGGGTTTAGCTATACTAGCTGCTGTTCCGTTGGCAAAAAAAACTTGGAGATAAAACAACTTTGCTCTGTTCACTGTATGGCTCCATATTTTTTACAATATTCTGCTCGTTGGTCCCGAATTATTACACTTTTCTACTTTCTAGAGCTCTCCTAGGACTAGGCTGTGGATTGAACATGACTACAATTGGAGTCTTTGGTGCTAAAAATATTTCTTCCAATGAGATTCTACCAACATTTTCTTTCATCCATGACTGCATTGCATTTACTTTCGGAAGTGCCTGGGCTTCGCTGCTGGGTTGGCTTCTTCTTGAAACACTAGGCTGGCGGATGTTTGTCCTCTTAACATCCATTCCTTTGTTCATCCCACCAATTTTCATGCTACACTGTTTCATTGACGAAGAAGGCACAACTACTGAATCAAAGAGCCTGCTCAAAGATGATAATGGATGTCAATCCATTGAAAATTTTCCTGTGAGAGTTCTGAAAGCGAGCCTTTTCGGGGGCTTCAGAAGCTTCATAGGATATGGAAGTATTATGCTTCTTCCATCACTCATCATGAATTACAACCTTACCAACGAAATTGTAGAGGTCGATAAATGTGAGCAAATCGTACATGGAGATCAATACATAATTCTCGTTGCGGTCAATGGCATTGCCAATATTCTAGGTAGGCCGATAGGATTTTTCCTAAGACCACACTTCAAGTTTATAACCCTCCAAACCACATTCATGCTTGGATTTGCCATATCCTACGGTATCATCCTTGCAAGACCAGGCTTACTGGTAGAATCCATGATGATGGGAATAGGAAAGTTGTGTTTTTCGCTGCAGGGGGCAGAGCAAAGCATCCTGCATTACGATGTGGAGTATTTTGGAGTCTCAGGACTATCTTTGGGTGGTTCCCTGATGTCGGTAGCAGAAGTATTCGCTGCTGTAATGAGTACCACTCTCGCTGTTTTCATTGATCCTTATCATGCTGTTATAGTGGGCTTGGTTGTTAGTCTTGCACAGGTCGTTGTGATTTGCTCTTTCTATAAACAGAAGTGATTGAACTCGTGTGGACTTGGAAGGGTTTTTCTTCAAAACACGATATCACTAGAAATAGCTGTTATTCATTCCAATGAGAAATTTAGAAGCAAGACTAAGGAGATATAATTGGGGGTACACCAGCACCTTTTGAAAAGCGGAGGTGGATTACAGGAGCTGATGGGAGACAAGGTTGGGTGATTTTTCAGTTGCACGTCTCTCGGAGATAAGGAAGCTAGAGAATTTGAGTAGCAAGGAATCGGTTTAAAAGCTGGGATGCCTAGAAACAGCAAGAAGCAGGTTTTGTGCTTAGTTTGGGATTAGGGTTGTAACTCTTCGGTGATGGATTTTATCTCCAGTTGATTATTGGTTGCTTAATATTGAGTTTAACTTTATGTTATTGTTGAGGCATTGTTTATTGTAACCCAGGGGAACGTATATTACGTATGATTAATAGTTGATAATAGTTGTATCATTGTTTTCTATTAATAAGATAATCCATGCGTCACAGGAAAAATTGATCGTACCAACATAGTCGCAAACGCTGTATAACTTTTACCTGGATGTAACTAACTAGGTCTTACTGAGATTCCTGATCCTGACAACGTAGGAGAAGAATTTTCTCCGTCTCCAAAACACCATGATCAGCAGCTGATTCGGTCCTCTCAGCAATTGCCAGAATAAGACCATATATTCGACTAGTGACACCAGTTTTCGGTACCCACATTGAGATTCTGTGAGTGATATGTCTTGTTGAAATTGGATACCGACATGTCGAGATATTTATTGTCAATTAATTACTCATGGATTTAACAAGATATGAACAGAACAAATAATTTGAGGACAGCATGACTTCAAAACTTTGAACATAACACGAGGAAATATGGACAGAACTGAACATGCTTTAATAAGATTCACAATGTATTATATCGAGGACGGAGGGTTATTATTCCAAAATTTCAGTCAAAACTGTGAAATTTCGGTCAAAAGACCGGCGGAAATGCTTCTCTTCAAAAAATATCTTCGATTGATTGATTGATTGAAAGCTGGACGGTGCCAGGCGGTTCTAATGACCAATTAAAACATAAAATAATAGTGAATGATAATCCCTCTTTTCAGGGCACTGCACACTAAGGGGTCGTTCACATATTACGTAATCAGCCGAGGGGGGGTTTTCAAATGCTTACGGTTGATTACGGGGGGGAGGGGGTTTGGTCGTTGATTACGTAATAAAAATTTTAATTTTTTACCGATTTTCGAAATACCAATTGGACAATTTTCGTTGATCCTGAAGCTGCTGAACGAATGAAGACTTCTGGGAAAGCTGGCCGTCCTCCGTTAGAGTCTCATGATGATCTAGCCGAGCTACACAACGTCATCTTAAACTATAGGAGGGGGGTTGGGTCTTGATTACGGGGGGGGGGGGGGGGGGGGGGTAAAAATATTGCGAAACCTATGAAGTTTTGTGTGCTCATGTGGAGCGAAAACAAGAAAAGCTAGTGCAAGGTGGTATGAATAAACAATAAACATTCACCATCTTTAAAAACCGCACACATACCACAGCCACAACACACATCATCACTCGATTGGCTTGTCTTTTGAGTGAATTATCCCCGATCGTATGAAATGCAGTTTATCCGGTTCCATTTCTCTTTTCTTCACCAGTTCATGAACCCCTGTCCTGAGATCGCTCTTCTTCGGAGCGATCTGGTCTCACATACACTTTGTTGAAAGTCGCTGAGTGGTGCAGCTTCTTGACTTGACATAGCACTGATGATGGACAGCGGTGTGACTTGATAACGAAACCTTGACTAGGCGCTTCGAATTATCTTTACGAATCTTTCCTAGTCTGGTAGCCTGCAGAGTAGGTTTTACGATTAGTCCTATCTCCTGGAATACCTCCTGTACCCGCTCTTCAACATTCTCGTCCTTCTGTTCTGGCAGTCCAAATAATACAACGTTTCTGCTCCGATCCTCCTCCTGGACGACGGACTTGACCAATTTCTTCAGAGTAGCCGGATCTGCCAAACTATCAGTCTGGCAGACCATAACGTTCTCCGCAGCAGCTTCACTGTATGACTTGAACTGTTCTTTCAAGTTGCTCTCCACTGAAGACTTGACCACAGTCTTTACTGCGTCGAGCTGCTTGTCCTTGTTGTCGATAATCTGATCCTGTAAGCTGATTACCCACGTCTGATTCTCGATTAACTGGCTCTTGATGGAGCTCAGCTCAGCCTTCAGCTGTTTCATTTTTTCCGCCTGAAACCGCACAAAGTGGAACGATTCAGAAAACAGTAATGCCAAAGTGTCCTTTATCGCACGTTTACACACTGCTGACGTCACGTCAACTGGAGCAGTGCACCCGACTTGTTCCATCGCTTTAGGTATCCAAGCAGAACATTTCCCGAGCAGATCCTCCAACTCCTTGTCGTTAACAGTAGCCATGGCTTATACGCTACAAGCACACACAGTAATCTCGCCGTTAAATTAGGCGAGATAAGCAAGTTGATAAGAGACAACAAAATTACGAACGAATGCAATTTGTGTGTGGCGTGAACTGTCTCTCCTTCTATTCTGATGATTTTTTGTTTATCAAAGCTTTCTTTGGTAATATAACTTTCAGTACCTCAATCGTGTCTTGTGCCCTCCACAGTGAACTCTTTGGATGGTCATTTAAGAAAAAAACCGGTCAATACAGTGAAATTTTTGGTCGCCGAAAGCTCAAATTTGAAAATTTCCTACCGGTAGGACATTGTCAAAATTTTCCTTTCACCAGAGTTTTCTCTGGATATACACCTTCCAGTACCTCAATGTTGACTTGTGTTACTCACACATTCTCCCTCATAGTTCATACTCAATCTGGTAATATCATATTTCAACCCATAATGAACTTATTCATGAAACGTTTAACTTTAAGAATTATTACAACTATAAAGGGGGGGGGGGGTCTGCTTTTGGAAAAATCTTTGACCTCTTTTTTTGACGATTTTTTGAGGTCCAAGATTTTCATTGGTTGCTTAAAAACTGTAGAAGAAGATAGATTTTTAGACTCGATTTTCATGAAACATTTATCCAACATTCTGGATTTCCCGGTTAACAATCTGCAGGATACATATTTTAGTGTGTATTTATGTACGACATCGATAAGCTTGTACGCTTTCAAATTCACTTACACAAAGTAAAGTATAAATAAAGTAATAATGCAAAACACAAGTCTGACCAGCTCACCGGTTGTGATCGTTACTCTGCCAGTCTTCCTGTTCTCGACTAGTTGCATCGTGATTCGTGTGTTGTGATCTGAAAATTCGTGTGTATGTTATCTCTGACTGTGGACTGCGTGATATGAGTTACAAGTTCTGTGTATTACTTCTGTGTAAAACATTTATTTCGTGTTAAACTTACAGACGTTTGTTCCAGTAAAATTAGTTATTTAGTAGCGAAATGTAATGAGAATGAGACAAGGACAAAAAAATCTAGTTAGATTAGCTATAAATACTGAGCAGAGCTTACTTTTAGATCAGCCCTTCCAGACGATCTCAAAAGTTCCTCCCAGCTCGCCAGAACGGATCTCGATGTTCCACTTCGAATCTGTACTCATATACATAATATTATTAGTTAACTTGTGTTAATAGATGTGGATACTGGCGGGGATTACCATACTACACGTAATCAAAGAAATAAACCCTGTTTACAATGAGATAACATCACGTGATCGAATTACGTGTTTTGATAACAAAGCTAGAGACTAAGTGGTATGGAGCACACTGCTTTTCATGTGTTTTATAGACTGACCAAATCGTACTACTAGTCTTAACTTTAATTTTACTGATTATCTTTTGTGGGGACCGAGGGCTCATCGTCCGAGTATACTTACTTTAGGTACTTTAGGTTGGTTTGGCAGGGATTGCTTCTGGACAACAGTAACTAGTACGTCCTCCATTCATTCCTGGTTCAGATCTTTCTGTAGATTCCATTCCAGGAGTGAGTTGTTGGTGATGGCGGTGTATCCTTTGGTTGGCGGGGTATCGGGAAACGTCTCCAAAAATCGAGCAAGTGATACCTTGAAGGGTCCTAGAGCAGTTAAACTGTTCACTTGTCGTGGGAGGAGGTTCCATAGTCTCGCTGCATTCACTCCAAAGGAATTCTCGTAATGAGTGGCCACTGATCGTTGCGATTTGTTGTTCAGTGGTGGGACTATGGCTTTTATGCCATGTCGAGCGTTTTCCTTGAATACCATGTTGATGTCAAAGCAGACACTCCTGAATATGAGATAAATTAATCTCATTTAGATATCTGTAATATGTTCATATAATCAGAATAGTTTTTCAGGAATAACCAATCTGGCCTCATCCACGTTTAGTGTGGGCCGATAACACAAACCACACTCATCAGATTTGTTGAAGAAGCGTTGAGTTACCTAATAAGTTATTAGAAACTGTTTTTGAACATGTAAAGTAGAGCATCCAAAATCTTGGTTTTGGGCATGCTAAACTGTTTTGGCAAAAATGTACCAAACATGGGCAGGGCTGTACCACGGGCTCCAGTGCGCGACCCCCTCAAAGTTCGGTCAGGGGCCCTAGTTTTCCAACTGTTATCTCCAAATCAAGTTTCACAAAAAGTTAGACCTCTCCCTCCCTTTCTCCCTCCTTCCTTATAGGTACTTGATTCTTCTACAAGTCTCCACCTCATCAAACACCAAACGTACTTAACTTAATGTAAAAGTTTTCCATTGTATAATGTAATCTATTGTGATGTTCTCGGTTTAATCTTTATAGTTATACATAGTTATCGAGACCTTTATTATTTTATTTTATATTTTACTCAGTAATATAATGTGCATATAGCAGAAATTATGTTACATTTTGCCGCGAGCTCGCTGCGAATTTTAGAATTGCAGCTGCGAATTAAGAGTTCTTTACAGTTGTCTTTCAGCGATTTTATGCAAAAAATCACGAAGAATCTTTTCCCTAGGGTTAAATTCCTTAAAGTCTTTAACTGTGTTCTCACATATCTTACTCAGACTCTATTGAGTATTGAAACCCACTTTCCCACTTATTCTCAGACATGGCTTCTAAAGTTTTGTTCTTGACACTGATTCTTACTCTGTTCACACTGGTGACACCGCGTCCTCAGAAGAGAGAAGCTGTTCTAGAGAGGGTAAGAATTTATCGAGATTTAAAATTTCATAACGTTCAGTTTGCATTATCCTGAGCTTGGAAATTATGATGATACCCGAGTTAAACTATGAATTTTATTGGATTTAGTGCTTTTATTCTGTTTGGGAACTACAACTCTAGTCAATATTTAGTTAATATCCAACTGGTATTAATCTGTTAACTTCTCTAGCCTGACTGCTGAGATACTGTTAAAATACTGATTCCATATAAAATTCAGAGTTTATTCAAACAATGGGAAGATCTATCAAACGGCCTCGAGAAAACGTGGGACGATGTTTCGAAGGAAGCAGAGGATGCGTGGAGGGATGTGAAGAAAAGCACTAAGAAAGTGTTGGACCAGTTGAGGAAAAACGTCGATAAAATGTCGAAGAACGCAGAAGATGCGCGGAGAGATGCAAAGAAAGGCACTAAGAAAGTGTTGGACCAGTTGGGCGACAACGTTGATAAATGGTTGGCAAACTGGGATGAAAAGAATGGTAATAAAGGTAACAAAAAGGGAAAGAAAGGAGGTCCGAAAAAGGGAAAGAAAGGAGGTCCGAAAAAGGAAACGAAAGGTTATGAAGAGGTGTAGGTTGTGAAAATGATTTAATCTGGAAGAAATGTTACGACTTTATTTTCGCAGATTAGTCATTGACACAGGGTGGCCTAGAATTTCCGTAACGTGGCAAGATATTGAACACTGGATATTCCAGCCATGTTTAGTCAAACTATTTATATAGTAGTGATTATTCTGGGTCATCCTGTTTTTATCAATATCAAGCAGAAAGCATGTCTGGAATTAGTTCATTAACATATTTGACATAAAGAACTTTAGAAAATCGTCTGTATTTTATTTATAAATATATGTGTAGTTTATGAATACGATCGTGAATGATATAAATAAATTCATTTTAATATTTTTTGTCCTAAAGAGATGTTTTATTGATCGCTCTATATTCAACAAATTTTAATCCATTGGTATGGATATTAGATATTTACAATATACTTTAGTGAGGGAGGGAGGGAGGATACCGCAGTTGTGTTATGAGGTGATACTCGAGGATGTGGACTTTAGAAGGAACTGTTTTGAACAGTTTCCTTTGATTCACGATGTCAATCCTTCGCATCTCGCCGCTCTGTGGTTGCGAGAAGCATTATTTGATGCGCGCGCGACACAGTAGTGCATTTTTGAGGCCCCTCAGGTAAATTCATTTACAATATATCACTAACAAGTAAACTAATAACTAACTCCCAACAAAAATCAACTGCTGGACCAGTCAGTGATATCCTTCGATAGTGTTTTTATTTTAACTTAAAAATTAATTTAGGTCTCGTGATTTAACTGAAGGCAGATGTAAATCACGGCTTACACAGTAACTTTCTAATTATTAATGTACGTGTAGTGGAACATTTAATTTTATCTAATTTATTTGATTCAATCGTTTCCGCGTTTATTGTAAATAAACAGTTATAAATCAATAAATGGCGACAATTTAAAAAATAATCTGTCAATACGAAAAACATTTCCATCTTCATTTGGCTTTTAACAGGATACTTCTAAATGACAGATTCACTAACACTAATTATTTTTAATAGCATATCCTTTAAATACTTTTCACCAATCTTAAACCATATCATCCCCCGCTTTAACTGCAACCACTGACGAACGCATTAGTGTTCTTCGTCAGCTCTGAGCTCGTGCATTACTCGGATCCCGTAAATTCTGTTTCTCAAATCGTGATATGATTTTGTAGTTGTTATTGATTCCGCGCTATTCTCTAAAATAATATATATTCATAGGATATTTAAACTATATATTGAATAGGAATTAATAACAAACGTAATTTAATCTTTATTATGTAATAGAATAAGACAATTGCTCATGATAGGTATTAAATTCCTATGCTTATTGGGCGGTGACAACTTGAACGCTGAACCGAGGTTCATCTATGTCCGCAAATAAAAGCCGTCATGATTGTCCGATCAGTTACAGTCGGAAACTTTTTCAAATTTTTTATTTCGAATTTTGGTCCGAATAACAACTGAAACTTATTGCCAAGTTAACACATGGTCATCCTTGGTCAGCCGGCACAGAAACTCTAGCATTCTGCTCGTAGTTGAAAATGTTTCAAATACTTCGGAAAAGTCAACGAATTCACCAACGATAATTCCAGACTATCCCCAAATCGCAAATTTTATACTCTAATATTATACGTAGAAAATTCCCCTTGTATAGCACTATATTCGGGGCGGATGACAGTGCAGGAAAGCTCAGTCGATTTCAGTTACCTTAGTGTGTTACCACTTTCCCCACGATTGGCTGAAATATAAATATTTGATGGTTCCTAGCTAGAAGCCTGTGTTAACATGACATGTCATGCAGTAAAACCATTTGATTACAAGGTAATCAATGTGATAATTATAGAACTTCACTGTACACATTTTAAATTTTTATCTTAATTGACTTCTTTTCTTACTACGATAAATAAATATTAGAATATTGCTAACATTTAAAAAACTCAAAAAAATGGAAAAATTTTTATTTGAAGTTACGTATAATTTTAAATTGGATTCATAATTCCGCAAATAAGTCCGATAAGTATTTCAACATCTCTTCTGCCTTTTATTACAACGGATACAAATTACATAAAATAGGACGAGTACAACTAACAACTAATCTATCATACATTTAATCAGGACAATATCAGCATTATAACACTACGTTCTGTCACCAGAAGGTCTTAGAACCATGAGTCCATCCCCCGCCTTTTATTATCTGCAATCCTACTTGACGGAAGCCGACATCACGTGATTCTTCCCGTCTCAGCTCTGAGCTCAGTGCATTTACTCGTGCATCTGTTTAATATTCCTTTTCTCAATCGTAAGATAGTGATTCTTGTAGTTGTTAATTAATTCTCGACAGCTATTTCCTGCTCCAAAATGAATTAAGATCCGGGTAATAAATGTGCGATAGGTATATTTTAGTTTAGGTACATATTATTATTTAAGAATAGAATTAGATTGAAATTAAGAATAATTTTAATCTTTATGTAATCACGTTCTAATCATAATGAAGCAATTGCTCAGAAGTATTTATATACCTTATCGGACCTTATTTGGACGGACATTACTTGAACGCTGGAGACCCTAGCGTTCATCTTAATGTCCGTTCAAATAAAGTCCGTTCAATTAATGTCCGTCCAAGTTAAAGTCCGTTGAAACTTTTTCAAAATTTTTTCCATTTCGAACTTTTTGTCCAGAATATGACAACTTTGAGAACTTTATTGTGCCGTAAGTTAACGACGGAAAGGTTCTCCTTGGTCTGCCGGAGGCACAGAAAACTCTACTATTACTGCTACTAGTATATGATGTTTTCAAGAGTCACTTGGCGGAAAAAAGTCAACGAAATTAAGGCACTCAACAACATAGTTCATGAACTAGTCCCCGCCAACATGACAAACTTGTTTCAGCCTCTAGATATTACGGTAAATCGTGTTGCCAAGGATATTGTCCGACGTTGTTATAGTTCATATTACTCGGGGGCGGTAATGAAACAGTGCTAGGAAAGCTCCATGTGATGTTAAGGTTAACCTTAAGTTGTCAAGATAAAACCACTTCGCGCCGAATGGCTTGTAAAAATTAACACTGAAATGCAGATTTGATTTTAAAAAAGGTTTCCATAAAGCTAGAAATCACTGATGCTTTAAGCATGGACTATTTCATGCACGAAAACCCATTTGATGAAGATGATATGTCAATGTGATATTAGACACTGATCATGTACACATATTTAAACATTTTTACTGCTTAATGACTGCTTTTCTTACTTACTGTATAAAAAATGGATTTAGAAATTATTTGCTGAAATTTAAAAAACGTCAAAAAAATTGTAAAAAATTCGGATTTTTGATGGTTTTGAATGCCTTCGAGCGTTCATATTAATGTCCGTTCATAATTGTGTCCGTTCATGTAATGTCCGTCCAAATAAGGTCCGATAAGGTAGTTTACATTTTGTTTGTTGTAAATTATCACGAGTCACCAATTATATCATTTACAAACAAGCCATGCGTCTTATTTCATTTTAACACCTTCATTCTAAGTTCACTCCTGTTGATATCATTTGTATTCTTTCCAAAATACAACTATCACATGATTTTATCATAGGACAGTTTAGAGTTCTAATTATCCTAAAGAGTGCCGTTGAGTCTAAATTAGTTCTGGGGATTTACCATTTTAATAAGTTACTATTTCATCTTTTCCGCAAAACTCCAGATTTAAAGTCTTTCATTTGTTATACCTACCACTAAGACGAGCAGCTAGGTACAACCTACTGTACTACATAAATAGCTGTACTTTGCGGCTTTTGTTTCTTTTTTATCGTTTTCTTCCCTTTTGAGCCACGCCTTCTTTTTTCGACGACTTTGGTTTTTTGTCATTGTTCTCGCCCTCTTTTGTTTTCCCTCCCTTCGGATTTTTGTTCTTGCTCTCTTTCATTTTCTGTCCCTTCAGCTTACAAATAAGAGGGTCTAGGCTGTCTTCACGCATAAGGACGTAATCTTTGAATTTCATCAGAACACATTCCTCACACTTTTTAAGGAATTTTCCCAAAAACACGAGGTGTCTGCCTTCACCCATTTCCCGTGTGGTCTGGAGATCCAGGGGAACCTTCCTTCCGCACATAGTCGCACTGAACTCAGAACGCTTTGGCATCACATCATTTGACTTAGGAAAATCTTCAAAATATTCGTATATCCTTCCAAGCTTGACGTATCTTGTATCGAATGTTATGTAAAACTTTGTTAATCCAACGTGTATTTCGATGTTGTAGAATTGCAAAAAAGGAGGGTCATTGTTGTGACAAAAGACAGCAGCGGCTTGGTTTCTGGAACAGGGCATATGAGTTTCCGTTAGTTGCCAGCATGTGTCAGCAATTGAAATATTATCGGTCGCGTTTAACATCTGTAGGCCCAGGGTGGTATTTGCATGCGCAGGATCTTTGCCTAGGTCGGTATGTGCCTGCCCAGGATGGTGTGTGAGACTAGCTGCACGGAAACAGTGGAACCTCTTGGAATCGTAGTGAACAATTCCGTGACTGTGAATTCTCAATTCTAATGGATCCTCTGTCCTTCCCATCAATATGTCCCAAAAAGCAAGTTTGCGACTTTTTAAACTTATGGAGGATCTACGACCAGTGTTAAACCCGTGCAATTGACATACAGCAATGGCGGTGCGATCATTAAATTCGTCATCGCATATTGGGTAAAAATCGCTGCTGATCACCATGAGGGCACCCCGCTCGTCACGTTTCATCAAGCACATCCGAAGATCTTTTAGCTTCGTAGAGGACATTTCCTTTTTGGATCGCTCTCCGTACTCTTCAAAAAGAAGATTTTTTTTCTTTAAGATTTCGAAGTATAAATAAAGGGGTATTAAAGGAGGTTTTAAGGTCTCTACGTCTCTGTTTACCCCTGAAACTTTGCTGGGGACAATTTTTTGACAATCGCAAGAGTCATCATATTGAGGAGAATATGTGAACTTAAATGTAAGTGGGTAATACACTACGGGGTCATAATAACTCAGGAAACCGCTGTCGAGAGTAACTCTTGAAGGTGTTAATCTCTTTATCTCGTTATCCACTGCCTCTTTCCATCTAGACGGCTTTTCCCGCCTTTTGTTCCCTTCTATGTTCACGGACAGAAAAATCATTAAAAGCACCGAAATTAATGTCCAGTATGTACCTCGCAACATTCCAGGCCACTATCTGAGTTGGAGAATATTCTGATACAGTCCGAAGTGCAACACAAGTATTTAGCGAAGGAACCAAACTAGTTAAAAGATAAACTTAACTTGAGCTCGATCATGCTAATCGAGGGCTGTGGACAACAAGCAGCGATTTATTTTCCATCAGGATATCGGGCTTGTTATCAAGCAAA